GCCCAGCCAGTTTTTTAATTTATTGTAGAGATGAGGTCTCGCCAAGTTGCCCAGGCTGGTCTTGATCTTCTGGTCTTAAGCAATCCTCTTGTCTTTGCCTCCCAAAGTGCTGGGATTACAGGTGTGAGCCACTATGCCTGGCTAAAATAATTCTTAAAAGTGTTGGGAACATGTCAGTCAAAGGATACAAAATTTCAGTTGGGAAGGGGTATAAGGTCAAGAGCTATTATACAGTGTTGATGACTTTTTTTTTTAAGTTGGAGTCTCACTCCGTCGCCCAGACTGGAGTGCAGTAACATGCTCCCGGCCACTGCAGCCTCGACCCGCTGGGCTCTGGCGATCCATCCACCTCAGCCTTCCAAGTAGCTGAAACTACAGTTGCGTGCTACCATGCCCAGCTAATTTTTGATTTATTGTAGAGATGAGGTCTCGCCAAGTTCCCCAGGCGGGTCTTGAACCCGTGAGCTCAGATGATTATTGTTAATAGCAATGTATTGTATTTTGAACATTACTAAGAGAGCACTCTAAGTGTTCTTACTACAAAAAATAAGTATGTGAAGTAATACATAGGCTAATTGACTTGATCCATTCCACGTTTCTTTAAAACATCCTGTTGTACATAAATATATACAAGTTTTATTTGTCAAATAAATACTGTAATGTTAAAAAAAGCCAATTCTTATTGTTATCAACTATCAGATGATAGATATGTATTCAGTATTCACTGAGTCTATGGCCATACCGCCCTGAATACGGCCTATCTCATCTAACCTTGGTGGAAGCTAGGTGTGCTTGGGCCTGGCTAGTACTTGGGTGGGACGCTGCTTGGGAATACTGGGTGCTGAAGGCTTAAAAAAAAATTACTGACTAAGAAAGTGTGACAAGGTACTGTGAACTCAGAAACACTGAAGTGAAATTTGGTTTTATTAATTATAACAGCATTTGCATATACTTAGAAACATGTTAGTTATTTGTTCAGTCTGTATTTAGAGCAGGAAAGAATGATCTTCAGAAAATAAGATGTGCTTGATGGACTCAGATTTGGCAAAGTCTCCTGTGCACGGCAGGGCCCCTGAGCTCATGGATGATCGGATATGACTTCTGTGATAGCTAGGATAAATGTGCAAGGTATTCTTATTATAATTGTATAGGACCAAATGTTATAATAGTATTCACCTTAAATGGCATTCTGCCCACAACAGGAGAATGATTAAGACTATTATTTCCTGATGTACTCATTAAGCCTTTTCTCCCCTATCACGGGAGCTTAGGAAAAGGCAGTCTATTTAGAACCTAAGTCCAAATGGTCTGGAATATCTTGGTAGTCATTTCCTGCTTCTATAACTGTATAGTCCTGGATTATGCAACTGTATTGCCAAAGCAGTGTCATCCCAATCTGTTTGAACATGCCTTTTTGGAATTATCAATATTATCTTACCTGATAAGTTATTGAATTTATGTCTCATGTTCTTTCCTAGAGTACAGTGTTTTGACAGTCACCACTTACCACTTCCTGGGTTCAGGTGATCCTTCTGCCTGAGCTTTCCAAGTATTTGGGATGACAAGCACATGCCAGCACACCTGGCTAAGTTTTTGGTTTTTTTGTAGAGACGAGGTCTTGCTGTGTTTCCTAGGCTGGCCTTGAACTCCTGGACTCAATCAGTCCTATGCCTTGACCTCCCAAAATGCTAGAATTACAATGATAATGGCTCTGGTTCATGCTTTTAGTTCACTTTGGATTTCTTGGTTTGTTTGTTTGTTTGTTTGTTTGAGTCGGAGTCTCACTCCTTAGCCCAGACTGGAGTACAGAGGCCGCTCCCGGTCACTGCAGCCTCGACCTGCTGGGCTCCGGCAATCCTTCTGCCTCAGCCTTCCAAGTAGCTGGAACTAGGCACACGCTACCACACCTGGCTAATTTTTGATTTGTTGTAGAGATGAGGTCTTGCCAAGTTGCCCCGGTGGGTCTCGAACCCCCGGGCTCAGGCAATCCAACTCACCTCGGCCTCCCAAAGCACTGGGATTACAGGCTGAGCCACCAAGCACTGCCGGATTTTTTGTTTAATTTTTGGGATGGAGGTAAATTTAGCAGTTACACTAAACAAGTGGCTCTTGTTTTTATAACTTCCTGGTATTCTAGACAGAAAGTTTGACATTTTGTAAGTGGAATTTTATAGTCTTACTTGGCTCATAATTTTGTTAATGTTTTTCAGGAAGCATGATTTAAAAATGAAATTAGCTACAGTCTACTGATTTGGGATTCATCCTGGGCAGGTCAATGGCTAAACTAATTATCTTCATACCTTGCATATATTGTCAGTTTTAGCCTCATAACTCTCAAAGGAGATAGGTCATTTATAGTGACCACCTGTGATCCATAGAGTGTGACTTGCCCAAAGGTTCCAGGCTAGTCAGTGAAACAACTATCATGTGTATGTAACTGTAACCACCTCATTGCTGTTCCTTGTATCCATACATTGCAAGAATGGCCTTTCTGCTGGGTCTCAGCTTTAAAGCTTTGGTACACCTACTGAGCCATGGCTATTGAAAACAAGTAGTATAATGGGTCCATGGAACATAGACCTGAAAGCAAAGCCCTGAGTCTTTTTTTTCTTTTTTCTTTCTTTCTTTTTTTTTTTTTGGTATTAGGATCTCCTGAGTTTGTCTACTACATTGACTACTGTCATATATTTATCATACAAGTCATACAATTTTGTTGATTTTTTTTTCCTGTGACATACATATAAGCTATAGTACTTTTCTAATGCTGTGGATGTTTTCCTCCTTGATTATAATTTTTTTTTGGAATTGGAGTTTCACTCTGTCACCTGGGCTGGAGTGCAGTGGCATGCTCCGCAGCCTCGACCTGCTCGACCTGCTGGGCTCCGCAGCCTCGACCTGCTGGGCTCCGCAGCCTCGACCTGCTGGGCTCCGCAGCCTTGACCTGCTGGGCTCCGCAGCCTCTACCTGCTGGACTCTGGTGATACTAGAGCTGGTACTACAGGCATGCGCTACCATGCCCGGCTAATTTTTTGATTTATTGTAGAGATAAGGTGTCACCAAGTTGCCCAGGCTAATCTCGAACCCATGGTGTCAGACAGTTCTCTCATCTCGGTCTCCCAAAGGCGTGGGATTACAGGCTGAGCCATTGAGCCCGGCTATTCGTAAATATTTAAACAGAGTTGAGTTATTATGTTTATAAGTCATGTCCTACTTTTCTATCTTTTTTTTGAGTTGGAGTCTCACTCTGTTACCCAGGCTGGAGTGCAGTGGTATGCTCACAGCCACTGCAGCCTTGACCTGCTGGGCTCAGGCGATCCTTCAACCTCAGCCTCCCAAGTAGCTGAATTACAGTACTTTTTTTCCATGACAATTTTTCATGTCATAAAAGTAAAATTTTAAATTATTGACAATAATTTGCCAGTTATGGTGGCTCACGCCTGTAATCCCAGTACTTTGGGAGGTGGAGGTGAGAGGATTGCCTGAGCCCAGGGGTTCAAGACCAGTCTGGACAACTTTGCGAGACCTCCGCAATAAATAAAAAAATATTAGCCAGGTGTGGTGGCATACGCCTGTACTTCCAGCTACTTGGTAGGCTATGGCAGAAGGATTGCCTGAGCCCAGCAGGTCGAGACTGCAGTGGCTGTGAGTGTGCCACTACATTCCAGCCTAGACGACAGAGTGAGACTCTGACTCAAAAAAAAAAAAAAATTATTGGCAGTAATTATAAACTATTCAGCCATATGGACATACCGTAATTTATTTAATTATTCTCTTTTTATTGCATAACTGGAGACATTAAGTTTTTTTTTTCTCTTTTCTCTGTGTTCCTTTATTCAATCTTGGCTGGCACAATCAGGCACACAGACAACACTAGGATATTTTTTTCTTGCATCAGTAGTGGAAACCAGAGATGTGAAGTTTAGATGTTTGCTTTGTGCTTTTCTTTTCTTTTTTTTTTTTTTTTGAGTTGGAGTCTCACTCTGTTGCCCAGACTGGAGTGCAGTGGCCGCTCCCGGCCACCGCAGCCTCGACCTGCTGGGCTCTGGCGATCCTGCCTCAGCCTTTCAAGTAGCCAGAACTACAGGCGTGTGCTACCATTCCCGGCTAATTTTTGATTTATTGTAGAGATGAGGTCTCACCAAGTTGCCTGGGCGGGTCTCGAACCCGCGGGCTCAGGCAGTCCACTCACCTCGGCCTCCTAAAGTACTGGGATTACAGGCCGAGCCACAAAGCCTGGCCTGCTCTGTGCTTAATTGTTCTTGGATGTCAGGAATGGATGCAGCATTTAGAAAGTACAGTCAGACGCAAGGCCAATGGAAATAGTGGGATGAGATGCTAAGGAGTGGTCCAGCCTTTTTTCCCTGTTTGTTTATGACAGACACAGAGTTTGTTTCTTTAATATACAAATGTTCCTCCAACACTTTATGAAAACTACCTTTGTATTTTTTAGGGAGTAGACCCCTGGAAATGGAAGTTTTATGCTGAAAGCTTTTGATGAACCTGGCTAGATTGTTTTCCTATAATATATATGTTTTTTTGAGTTGGAGTCTCACTCTGTCACCCAGGCTGGAGTGCAGTGGCACACTCATGACCACCACAGCCTCGACCTTCTGGGCTCAGGTGATCCTTCTGCCTCAGCCTTTCAAGTAGCTGTAACTACAGGCATGTACCATCACACTCAGCTAATTTTTTGATTTATTGTAGAAGACCAGGGCTCGTGAACCCCTGGGCTCAAACAGTCCTCTCTCCTCATCCTCCCAAAGTGCTTGGATTACAGGTGTGAGTCATTGTGCCTGAAGAACAGAATCTTTTTTAATTATGCAAACTTTTTTTGGCCTTAATTAGCATTTCTGATATTGCTAGTGAGATTGAAACTTTTATTTCTGAAGTTTAATAGGCATTTCATTCCACTACTTCCAGTGAGCAGCTGGGACTACAGGTGCATCTCACTGTACTCAGTAAATTCTGATTAATGTTAATGATGTGTTTTGTCTTTCCAGAAAGAAGAAATGATGTAAATCATTCATTTTTCCAAATTTAAGGATCAAAGGTGAGAAGGAAGGTCTGAAAGAACATGGCCTGGCCAAATATTTTTGGGAGAGGGACGCTGTTTTCCCGGTTCAGCCATCATCATGTGGTTGTGTTCCTGCTCACCTTCTTCAGGTAAGTGGTTTACTAAAACTATTCTCTTAGCCTGGTGCAGTGGCTCACACCTGTAATCGTAGCACTTTGAGAGGCTGAGGTGAGAGGATCACTTGAGCTCCAGAGTTCCAGTTCAGCCTGGACAATATAGCAAGACCTCTTATCTACTAAAAATAAAAAATTTGCTGGGCATGGTGGTGCATGTCTGTACTCCTGGCTACTTGGGAGACTGAGATGGCAGGATCACTTGAAGCCAGGAGTCTATGGTGAGCTGTGATGCCACTGCACTCCAGTCTGGGTGACAGAGTAAGAACCCCAACTCCAAAAAAAACCAAAAAACTGTTCTCTTGCTTTGTTTTTTGTCTTTCTTTTGAGGGAGATATTGCAGGCAGATGTCTAATGCACTGATTGGCATAGGCTAATGATGAAATAGACTAGTTATTCCTTCTGTTGTACTTCTTGATAGCTCTATCACAGTAGTTCTCAAGGACTGTTTTGTCCTCCAAGAGACATTTGGTGGTATCTGGAGATATTTTTAGTTGTCACAGTGTGGAGGAGGAATTGTACTTGCATCTAGTGGTAGAGACCAGAGATACTGCTAAACATCCTACCATGCATAGGACAACCCCCACAACGAAGACCTTTTTGGCTCAAATGCCAACAGTTTGGAGAAGCCCCAGTCTGTTATGAAGTCCTCTATTTGTTAAAACCAGGAGCCTGAGAACAAAGGACATGCATATTCGTGGAATGCCCTGTGCTTCCTTGAGTGGTAAAATGGGTATGAAGCAATTAGCTCTATTAACTCCCGTGAGACCCCTGAGTGTTAGCAGCTCTTGCTTGACAGTCAGCATGGCTGGATTGTCCACATCTATGGTTTTGGACTGTGGATTCTGTAGTCCTCGGTGGTTCTCTAGTAATATAACATTCATCAGGCCACTGGGTATCAGAGTGTATTATATGGAACCCTTTTACACAGCTGTCTTGATATTTCTGCTGAGCAGATTTTGTTTATTATTAATTTTTACTAAAGGCACCACAAATGATGATGTTTTTGTTTATTGTTTTTGGAGTAGGAATCTCACTCTCTTGCCCAGGCTGGAGTGCAGTGGCATGTTCATGGCCACTGCAGTCTCGATCTGCTGGGCTCAGGCAATCCTTCTGCCTCAGCCTTCCAAAGTGCTGGGATTACAGGTGTGAGCCACTGTGCCTGGCTGTTTTTATTTTTTTTTCCTAAAATTTTTTAAATTTTGAGTCAAAATCTCACTCTGTCACCCAGGCTAGAGTGCAGTGGCATGCTCACAGCCTCCGCATCCTCGACTTGCTGGGCTCAGGCGATCCTTCCACTTTAGCCTTCCAAATAGCTGGAACTACAGGCACATGCCACCATGGCCAGCTAATTTTGCATCTTGCCAAGTTGCCCAGGCTGGTCTTGAACCCATGGGCTCAAGCAATCCTTTCATCTCAACCTCCCAAAGTGCTGGGATTTTAGGCATGAGCCACTGCCTCTAGCCATTTTTATTTTTTTAAGGCAGAAACTAGGAAGACGGTTTTCTAATGATGATGGAGTTGGTAGATAATGTTTTATGCTTGGTTAAAGGGCTGTGATCTACTTGTGAGAGGTGGGGGATAGGCATCAAGATGAGGAGAGGACAAGGGCCCAAGGAAGAGGCTATTGAATGGCTCATGCAGCAAGTGGCAAGTGGTTGCCCAAGACTCAACATTTTCTTCAGCTCTGCATCCACGACTCAGAGTGGGAGGAATCAGTCACAACTCCATCATCTAGTTCCAGGCAGAAGTTAGGAATGAATGTGGCCTCAGAATGAAGACAGCTAGTTATTTTTCTTTTGCTTAGAGCAAAGACTGTATCAGTTGATAGTTCTTATAAAGCAGTACCTTTTTTAAAAAGAGAAGAATTATTAAATTGGATTTTAAAAATGGGCTTTTATCTGTGACTTTATTGAATGTTGTTTTCTTTGCTGTTTATTCAGCTGTATTCTCTCTGTTTTGTAGTTACTCATTGCTGCATGCTTCAAGAAAAACATTCAGCAATGTCAAAGTCAGTATCTCTGAGCAGTGGACCCCGAGTGCTTTCAACACATCAGTTGAATTGCCTGTAGAGGTAAGCAGAACAAAGTGCTGAGATGGATTTCAGAAGGGGACTTGATCACCCCTAAATTCTTTTAAAAAAAAATACAGATGGGATCTCAGTATGCGGCCCAGGCTAGTCTCAAATTCCTATCCTCAAGTGATCCTTTCTCTTCGGCTTCCCAAAGTGTTGGGATCCCAGATGTGAGGCACCATTCCTGGCCCCTAAGTTCTTAAGTTCTTTTTTGCATCATTTACCTACTTAGGACTCTGAAATAGCTTACTGCTTCCCTATGGCATGGAATCCGAAGTGTTCTACTGATTTCAAAGCCTGCTCCACCTCAGACCCATTGTACCCATCCAGACAGCTTGTTTTCCATTGTTTTGAAAGCACCCAGTTCCGGTGAAGCTATTTTTTCATTGAGTTTCCCAAGTACATGTCTCGCTTCTGTCTTTGAGATTTCTGCAATTATCTTTTACATGTCTTTTACCATTCTACCGGTCTAATGCTTACCTTTCCTTTTGTGTCAAGATAAAACACTACTTTTGCAATCAAGTTTTTTCCAGCTTCTACTGATTTTGCCCTTCCCTGAACTCTTGCATACTTTGTATTATACAGTGTAATGTTGATATTCAAATATTCATAATAGTTATTTCCTGGCTGGGTACAGTGGCTCACACCTGAAACTCTAGCCTTTGGGGGACAGAGATAGGAGGATTGCTTGAGGCCAAGAATTTGAGACCAGCCTGAGCAACGTAGACCCCCACCCTACAAAAAAATTAAAAAGATTAGCCAGGAGTGTTGGCATACTTATCTCTAGTTCCAGCTAATTGGGAGGTTGAGGTGGGAAGATCGCTTGAGCTCAGGAGTTCAAGGCTATATCGTGAGCTGTGATCACCTCTGCACTCCAGCCTGGGAGACACTGACACTCTTAAAAAACTTTTTTTTCTTCCCCTATTTTTTTTTTTGAGTTGGAGTCTCACTCTGTCGCCCAGACTGGAGTGCAGCGGCCGCTCCCGACCACCACAGCCTTGACCAGCTGGGCTCCGGCGATCTTTCCGCCTCAGCCTTCCAAGTAGCTGGAACTACAGGCGCGTGCTGCCACACCTGGCTGATTTTTGACTTATTGTAGAGATGAGGTCTTGCCAAGTTGCCCAGGAGGGTCTTGAACCTGCGGGCTCAGGCAATTAACTCACCTCAGCCTCCCAAGGTGCGGGATTACAGGCTAAGCCACTGAACCCGGCTTCTTCCCCTATTTAGATCATTTCAAAGTTGATAAGAGGTTTGAAGGTTATATGAATATATATTATAGGTGAATAAATTATTTAGTCAATTACTTCTTGAGTGCTGTCTTGCATAAACATTGTTCTAGACCCCAGGGATACAAAAAAAAAAAAAGACTAGAAGATTAAATAAAAAAAAAAAAAAAAAAAGGAGCCATTGCCTTGCTATGCTATGGTGTGGCCGAGTACTCTTTGAGCTAGGGCCAGGCCATGTTTCCTGGTTTGGCCCCTTCCCCTACCTTGGGGAGGTGAATCTCCTCTTTTTCTGTGTCAAATTTACTTTCTAAACAAACTATATTTTCTAATTAAAAAAAAAATGGCAGGGGAGCTTTCTTTCTAGTGGAGGTGCTTCTGTGCAGTGTTTCTGGAATTTAAGTTATCATGAACTTTTGAAAGGAAAGATGTGGAGACTCATGGGCTGGATTTTAGACCTGAGTCTAAGTGACCATTCACTGGCTCGTTGATGTAGGATCACACATCATAAAGATGGAAGAGGCCTTCGAGAGGTCATACATCCTTGCCTCCCAAAAGGATAGAATCTTGCTTTGTCATTATTGAAAGATAATCATCCTGCTTCTGCTTTTTAATGCTTTTAGGGAGGAGAAATTCACTGTGTTCTGAGGCAGATAATTATATTTTTACTCAACTCTTTGAAGAAAACTCTTACCTGTCTCTGAAGTTTCTCGTTTTTGGACAGAACAGCTGTAGTTTAGTGACACCGAGCACTAAGTGTAGATATTTCAGATATAGTCCAACCAATATATAGAAAAGTAAGATTGGATTTAGGTACTATGTTTCTGGTTTTACTGCCTAAGGCTGCCTTTGTTTTTTTTTTTTTTGGAGTTGGAGTCTCACTCTGTTTTCCAGGCTGGAGTGTGGTGGTATGCTCATGGCCACCGCAGCCTCCACCTGCTGGGCTCAGGCGATCCTTCCTTCCGCCTCAGCCTTCCAAGTAACTGGAATTACAGGCGCATGCTACCATATCCAGCTAAGTTTTTGATTCATTGTAGAGAAGAGGTCTTACCATGTTGCCCAGGCTGGTCTTGCCTTTGTTTTTAAACTAAGTGGTCTCTAAGCCCACCTGTAGTTTGGTTGATTCACTAGGAGAACTCATACTGCTCAGTATAAAAACTCATAGCTATGACTTATTATGGTGAAAGGATACAAAGTGAAATCAGCAAAAGGAGAAGGCTGGCTGGTGAGGTCTGGAGGAAGCCAGGTGCAGGATTCCGAGAGCCTTTTCTCAGGGAGTCATCAAGTTGTGACAACATGTGTGAAAGGTGCTGTCTTAGGGAAGTGTGCTAGAAACTCAGTGCCCGGGGTCTTATTGGGGCTGGTCATACAGGCAACCTCAATCTGGCATGTACTAAAACCCAGGCTTCCAGAAGGAAACCAGGGATCTGGCACAGCCACATTGTTTGTACAAGCAGCTCAGGCAGTTAGCTCCTCCTATCAGGTGTGATAGGGACCTCCCAAAACCCACTTCCTGCATGCCAGCTGGGCCCACCCTTATGAGCAGAGCAGTCCTTTCTAGATTCTTTTTTTTTTAGTTTTGATTTATTGTAGAGATGAGGTATCGCCAAGTTGCCCAGGCGTGTCTCGAACCCGCAGGCTCAGGCAGTTCATTCACCTCAGCCTCCCAAAGCGTGGGATTACAGGCTGAGCCACCGAGCCTGGCTCCTTTCTAGATTCTTTTCTGCCAGAGACCACACATCTCATTGTTTGCTCTCATTGAATGAATGTTCACCTTTTTGTCGAGTACCTATTTGTTTATTTACTTACTCTAATTGCTGTTGAACTAGGTATCACCATTCTGGGTTTTCAGAACTACAGATTAAGTAGCTTGGCTAGGTTGGTTGTATGGAAGTGAAGTTCTGACCTGTCCTGAAGATCTTTGTATTTGCTTTGTGGCTGTCCTCATGGAGAGCTGTGCTGACTTTCTTTTCCTTTCTTTATACTTTAAGTGTGGGTTGTCTTTCTTCCTGAGGCCTGCTACTGGGAGTGGAATGGTTAGGGTGTGTTCCTCTCTCATTCTGTGCTTCTGGATGTGTAACTGTCTTAGCTCTAGCTTACCTCTGAGACCTTTCTTGTCCAAAGTAGAAAGGATTCTTAAAATCAGAAGCATGGGCTGGGCATGGTGGCTCAAGCCTGTAATCCCAGCACTTTGGGAGGCCGAGATGAGAGGATTGCCTGAGTCTAGGGATTCAGGACTAGCTTGGGCAACTTGGTGAGACCTCATCTCTACCATTAATTAAAAAATGAGCCGAGCATGGTGGCACACCACCGTAGTTCCAGCTACTTGGAAGGCTGAGGTGGAAGGATTGCCTGAGCCCAGCAAGTTGAGGCTGCAGTGGCTGTGAGCGTGCCACTGTACTCCAGCCTGGGCGACAGAATGAGACTCCAACTCAAAAAGAAAAAAATGAGATTTTCATTAAACATTGGGTGGTAGAGACGCTGTCTCACCAAGTTGCCCTGTCTGGTCTTGAACCCCCGAGCTCAGGCAATCCTCTCGCCTCAGCCTCCCAAAGTGCTGGGATTACAGACTTGAGCCACCGCGCCTGGCAGTTTTTTGATTTTTTTTGTAGAGACGAGATCTCGCTATGTTGCCTAGGCTGGTCTTAAACTCCTGGGCTCAAGTAATTCTTGCGCCTCTGCCTCTCAAAATGCTGGAATTGCAGGTGTGAGCCATTGTGCCTGGCTGGAAAATTATACAGACTAACTTAAGTCTTTTTTCCACTGATAGCCCTTGATAAAATTGAGGATAATTTATATATATATCCCTCATGTCTTCTTTTTTTTCCAGTGTAAATTTACTTTGTACTGTGGATTTTCATGTCTGTTTTTAAATTCAGTCTGTTGCAAAGTCTGTTCAGAGATCCTTTTTTCTTTTTTTTTGAGTTGGAGTCTCACTCTGTAGCCCAGACTGGAGTGCAGTGGTCGCTCCCGGCCACCGCAGCCTCGGACCTGCTGGGCTCCGGCGATCCTTCCGCCTCAGCCTTCCAAGTAGCTGGAACTACCGGCGCACGCTACCACACCCAGCTAATTTTTTGATTTATTGTAGAGATGAGGTCTCGCCAAGTTGCCCAGGCGGGTCTCGAACCTGCGCGTTCAGGCAATCCACCTACATCAGCCTCCCAAAGCGTGGGATTACAGGCTAAACCACCGAGCCCGGCTTAGAGATCCTTTAGCTGGGTGCAGTGGTGTACTTCTGTTGTCCCAGCTACTTGGGAGACTAAGGCTGGAAGATCTCTTAAGCTCAAGAGTTTGAGTCTAGCTTGGGCAATACAGCAAGTCCTGCCTTTAAAAAAACCCCAAAGCAACAGCCTGGGCAACGTGGTTCTTCAGTGGTTCCTCTCATGACCTGATTTCATATGCTCTGTTGTCTTTCTTTAAAATGGAAATAATGGACATTATTTAATTTGTTCAAAAACACTTACAAAATAGCCATGGACTCTTTTCACTGTTAGACACTATATAAATATGCATAAGACTTGGTTTTTACCCTAAAGGGATTAATTTTAAAAACTGGATTCATTTAAACATGCCTGAAGAATATAAATATTGCCTAAAGAATCATATATCTATGCATGGCATTTTGTGGTTAGATAGGACTGAACTCCCCCGTTTCACAGATCTGTAGACGGGCCACTGGGGTTCTGAGATGTTTTCAGCTGGTTTGCCATGAATGATTGTAGGTGGGCCGAGGTGTCCTTCCTTTGAGCCCTTGGAGTTGCCAGGTAGGGCTTAGAATAGCCTCCCGATTATAGGCCGGCAGATGTCCATAGGCCTCTGAGTGGAGTAGCTTCTTTAGTTTACCCCAGTGTGTTGTACAAAGATTGTGTCCTGTGTGTGCCTACCCAGAGGCTGGGAAGTGTTGGGATGAGTGGCTTCTCTAGGGTAACAAATAGTTAGGATTAGAGTTAGGATGATAAATTTTCCAAGTACCAGGCCAGAAGGATAATAAAGTTAGCAAGACTTTGATTTGACTGAAGTAGGTTAATGTAAAGATATTTTTCTATTTAAAAAATTAAGCCATGCTTTTTACATACCTTTTAGTGTACAGTTTTGCAGGTTTTGACAAACACGCATACAGTCTTGTAACTACCATCACAGTCAAGATAAAGACCTTTTCATTACCTCACAAAACCATAGTCAGCTCTTGCTACCCCTAATCCAAGGAAACCACTGATCTGTAGGTCTCACTTTGTCACCCAAGCTGGAGAGCAGTGGCACTAACATGGCTCACCGCAGTCTCAACCTTCTGGGCTCAGGTGATCCTTCCACCTCAGCCTCGCAAGTAACTGGGACTACAGGTGCATGTCACCTTGCATGGCTAATTTAAAAATTTTTTTTATAGAGATGAGGTCTCATTAGTTGCCAAGGTTGGTCTGGAGCTCTTAGGCTCAAGTGATCCTCTACCTTGGCACATACGCTGTGCCCCGTAAATATGTGCAATTATATGTCAGTAAAAAATAATAAAAGTGAAAAAAGTAAAATAAATATACTAGTTAAAAGCCAGGTGTGGTGACTCATGCCTGTAATCCCAGCACTTTAGGAGGTGGAGGCAAAACCAGCCTGGGCAAATTGGCAAGACCTCATCTCTATAGTAAATCAAAAAATTAGCCGGGTGTGGTGGGGCTCACCTATAGTTCCAGCTTCTTGGAAGGCTGAAGCATCAGGATCACCTGAGCCCAGCAGGTCGAGGCTGTGGTGGCCGCGAGTGTGCCACTGTCCTCCAGCCTGGGTAACAGAGTAATACTCTGACTCAAAAAAATACACACACACACACACACATATACACAAGTTAAAGAACTTTCTGAATGCGCGGGAAGTAGGATCTGGTGTTTGTCCTCACCAGCCTATTGGAACTGTGTGGCTGCAGCAGGTGCTGGCAGGGCTGACTTCCTGTTGTGTTACTGTAGATCTGGAGCAGCAACCACTTATTTCCCAGTGCAGAGGACGCCACTCTCTTCCTCGGAACGCTGGATACCATCTTCCTCTTCTCCTATGCCGTGGTAAGTGTTAGATCTAGATCTAGGGCTTTAAGTGAAAGAAAAGTGTAAAAGAGAATAACTCTGAGTATGATGAAGTTTGTAAGAGATTTCAAATTTGCCGACTGAGGAGGAGTTTAGTATATCTCAAGTTCATCTTTTGTGTCATTCATTCATTTGACAATAAATATTTGTTGAGCAGCTAGCATGTGTCAGTGGGAGTTTATCATGAACAACACACAAAAAACCCCATGCATTTATGAAGCTTATATTCTTGAGTTGGGAGCTAGAGGAGATAATCAGTAACCAATTGTTATAAACAAACCAACTATAGTGTATGTTCGAAGGTGATAAGTGCTATGGAGAAAAGTAAAACAGGGAAAGGGGACTGAGTGGGCCTGGGTGAGCTTGGAATTTTAAGTAGGATAGCTGGGGAACACCCCCTGAGGAAGTGGGCATTTGAGTGAAGACTTGTGAGGTGAGTGGGCTTAGTGTGAGGGGAACAAGTCGCAGAAGTGAGGCCAGAGGGGTAGTGGGGCTCAGATCTGTAGTCCTTTGATACCTTTGTCGAGCTTTAGCTTGAACCCTGAGATGGGAGCCTCTGGAAGGCTTTGAGCAGAGCAGCAGCAGGACCCAACTTAGATTAGCACAGGCGCTCTTGCTGCCTGAGAGAGGAGACTTGAAAGCAGGAGATGACTGAGGCTCTTAAATTGTGATGTGAAGGGTTAGGGTAGCTTGGGTCCAGGGTAGCAGTAATAGACGTCAAGTTGCTATGTGTTAGAGTAAAGCTAATAATTTTTATTTCCCTATTGAAAAGAATGATGTTAAGGACAAGCCAAGGTGGAAGTGTCATGACAGAGTAGAAGATGATGGAAAGAGAAGGCTCTGGAGAACTCACTTTTGGACACACAACATTTGAGATGCCTACCCAAATATTGAAGGGCAGACTCTTGGTTATGTGGATCTGGAGTTCAAGTAAAGGTTCGGGCTGGAGATACAAACCTCAGCATCTTTTTTTTTGAGTTGAGTCTCACTCTGTCGCCCAGACTGGAGTGCAGTGGCCGACCTGCTGGGCTCCGGCGATCCTTCCGCCTCAGCCTTCCAAGTAGCCAGAATTACAGGTGCACACTACCACGCCCAGCTAATTTTTTGATTTTATTGTAGAGATGAGGTCTCGCCTACCCAGGCGGGTCTCGAACCTGTGGGCTCAGGCAGTCCACTCACCTCAGCCTCCCAAAGGCGTGGGATTACAGGGTGAGCCACCGAACCCGGCTCCACACCCAGCCATTTTTATTTTTATTGTAGAGACGAGGTCTTGCCAAGTTGCCCAGGCTGATCTGGAACCCATAGGCTCAGGCAGTCCACTCGCCTCAGCCCCCCAAAGTGCTGGGATTACAGGCTGAGCCACCAAACACGGCCTGAGATCTCGTTTCTACAAAAAATTTAAATTTTTAATTTTAGTGCCAGCTACTCAGGAGACTGTGCTGGGAGAATCGCTTGACCCCAGGAGTTTGGGACTGTCTGAGCTGTGATCACACCACTGCACTCCAGCCTGGGTGACAGAGACCCTATCTTCAAAAAAAAATTGTGAGACTGGTTTATCAGGAGAATAGGTGCAGCTAGAGAAGAGGATGAAGACTGAGCCCTGGGGCTTCCAGTCTTTAGAAGCAGTAGGGATAAGGAAGGACAAGGAGACTGAGATGGAGTGGTAGGAAGGAAGAGGACTGTCGAGGGCAGTGTCATGGGAGCCATACGAGGTGACAAGGGGAAGTTCAGTATCTGAGGCTATTTTTCATGGGGCAGCTTGCATCTCTGACTGGCTGTAGGAATGGCTGTGTGGCTACAGAATTTGAGTTGTGGGGTCAGTGGTGGTGACAGCTGGGGCCGTGGACTGTTGGGGTAGTCTGTCCTTTTCTCCCCGGCCATCCTATTTCCTGTCTTTAAAGTGTGTCCACTTCTAAAAAAACTTTTGATTATGAATGTCCAGGCAATGTGAAATGCTGGGCAAAAGTCCCCACGTAGCTTCTAGGTATTTATTTGGGTAATTATTTGAGTATTTTTTTCTTCAAAGAAGAAGCTTACAGAAACAGTTGAAACAGAACTCAGTTCTCCACTAGGCCCAGCTTCTCACCTTGGCCATTTTTACAGAATCCCAACTTGGAGTTTCTGGGTTTGGCTGGAGCCTTCCCAGTTCCTCTTTGAGAACCACCCGTTCCTTTCGGGGACTGTTGTCGAGGCTGTGTGGACTCTTGGCAAGACCAGCTCTGCCATGGTTCCCGGCTATGCCAAGCCTGGTTTTGAAGTAAAATTGATGTTTAGTCTCTTCGTGTATAGAGTTGGGATGACTATACTTACTGTAGGATTACGTAGATTTAGGAGATGAAAGGTAAGTGCCATGAAAAATCTGTGGTCATAGTTCTTTGCCTGAGCTGCATCTCCTTCTGTAACCTCCAGGCCTTTTGCTTTCTGAAAGTGCAGAATAAATTGAGTCCCATCTGAAACAGAGTTAAGGGGGTTTCTCTGTCCCCTTTGTTCTGTAGAGCATGAGACCATGTGGGGGCGGCTGTAGAACATGAGACTTCTCCAGTGCTCACATGCGCCTCTTCGGAGAACAAGAGAGTTGATTTGTCATCTCCATTTTCTCTGATATAGAGATAGGCGATTTATTAGAAATACTTGGTCCTATCTGAATTTAGCTTCTAAGTCAGGACATTTAATTGAATAACTTTAAGTATGATAGGTTTATGGAAGATAGATTATGGAAGAAACCTCAAGTGTGTTACCCTTGAGGTCTTCAGCCTTACTTCCTGCCATGAAGCATTTTATTTCCTGTCCTCTGTGGGAGGAGAGCAGAAGGCAGAGTGTTGTACCTGTCTCCAGCTAATTATTATCTCTGCCTGCCCACTCTCCTTGCCTTGGGATGTCATGCAACCCAAGGGTTAGACTAAACAGGCAGTGAGGGTGCCCTAGAAGCTTCTGCTCCACTTCTTACAAGATGGGAACTAAACTGCAGGAATGTGATAACACATTTTAACTCAGAATGCAAATAGCTGGGAGGAATCCCTTTGGGAGAACTTATGAGGGGGGACCGAAAAAACCCCAGAATTTATAAAAAATTATGTATTCTTACATGTTTAAGCTTCAGTCACTTTCAAAGTATTCTTCATTTGATGCAATACACCTACTGGATGCTTTTTTCACTGCTCAAAAGAGTTTTTGAAGTTGTCAATTTTGATACCTTTTAGTGTTTCTGCCATTTTTTGTTTCACCTCTTCCACATCAGCAATACATTTCCCTTTCAGGACTTTTTTTCATCCAGGGAAAGAAAACAAAGTCACTTGGGGTGAGATCAGCTGAATAGGGAAGGTGGGGAATGAGGTTTATGCCGTTTTTGGTAAAAAATTTCTGCACACTCTATGTGGACAGGTATGCTTGTAAATCATTCATCATGAAATGGGCAAACGTGTTGAAAGAATTTCCAAGAAAAATTCACTGAAGCTGGATGCAGCCTCTCACAACAATGCTAGCTAGTACTGTGATACTGATGGGTTTCTAGAATACTTACTTAGCGGAGAATCTTGTCCTACAAGGGGCCTGCCTTCCAAAAAATAATTCTAGTTTTTTTGAGGTTCTCCCTTGTATAACTGATGTTTAGAAATGACTCTATTCTAGAAAGTGAAATCTTATTAGTAGAGTCATTCTTGTTATGTTTTTCGGTTAGAGACTCAAGTAAAAACAAAGTTGGCGCTGAACTTAGGTGTGTTTAAAGTGGAGTGTGCAGAAGACCTTGCCATTCCCTGAAAATTGTGAAACTCACATACACAGCTAGTCTAAGCATGTGAATGAGTTCATTTGAAAGAATCTTAGTGTTTGTTTACCTCACTTGCTTTGCATGCATGTTACTTTTTTGCTTTTTTTTCCTTTTTTTGAGTAGGAGTCTTACTCTGTCACCCAGGCTGGAGTGCAGTGTCACACTCACGGCCACCGCATCCTCGACCTGCTGGGCTCAGGTGATCCTTCCCTCTCAGCCTTCCAAATAGCTGGAACTACAGGTGCGCATCACCATGCCTGGCTAATTTTTTTAATGTATTGTAAAGATGAAGTCTCACCAAGTTGCCTAGGCTGGACTCAGTCAATCTTCTCATCTCTGCCTCCCAAAGTGTTGGGGTTGCAGGCGTGAGCCACTGTACCCGGCTTTTTTTTATTTTTATTTTTTATTGTAGAGATGAGATCTCGTCAAGTTGCCTAGGCTGGTCTCAAACCCCTGGACTCAGGCAGTCCTCTTGCCTCCACCTCCCAAGTTGCTGGGATTACAGGTGTGAGCCACTGTGCCCAGCACTTTTTTCAACTGTGTTATTACTTAGCGTTGTAAAATAAAATACTTTATTTTTAGGGCCTTTTCATCAGTGGCATCGTTGGAGATCGGCTAAATTTACGATGGGTTCTGTCTTTTGGCATGTGCTCTTCTGCGTTAGTGGTAAGTTGGAAAAGTGTTATAACAATGCTAATAATAATAATTATTATTTTGGTCAAGTATTCTAGAATTCAAGTAAACCCCCTACTTCTCTATATAGAATAGAATGGTAATATTAATCTTAAGTTTGCCTTTTCACTTATTTGGGACTTTTAATTTTTCTGAAACAGGGTTTCACTTTGTCAGCCAGGCCGGTATGCAGTGGCACAATCACAACCACAAAATCCTGGACTCAAGTGATCCTCCTGCCTCAGCTTCCTGAGTAGCTGGGACTACAGGCATGCTCCACCATGCCCAGCTAATTTTTCTATTTTTTGTAGAGATGAGGTCTCCCTCTGTGGCCTTGGCTGGTCTTGAACTCTTGGACTCTAGCAATCTTCTTGCCTTGGCCTCCCAGAGTATGAGCCAGCACACTCTGTTGAGTCTTTTTAAAGTATGCTTCTGATCAGCTTCCTTTCCTTGACTCTCAGGACCCAGCAGAGTCCAATAAATAGTCTGAATGACTAGCATGGTGTTCAGCACCCTCTAAAATCTGGTCTGCCTTTACAATTATATATGTTACTCTGCTTTGTCCCTTTGCTCCAGCCACATCAGACTACTTCCACGCCCCTAACATCTTCCTCCTTTCTACCTGCTCTTCTTCCTGCCTTGAATTCCCCTCTTTTCAGTTCTCCATGGCCAATTCCCTGTCTCCTTCAAGTCATTGGCCAAATGACACCTCTTAGAAAGCTGGACCTTACCAACTCCACTCCCGGAAGTACTCAGTCATTCCCTCTTAGCTCCCGTGCCTGTGTTTCTTTGCAGGCACTTGAAATTGTCTGCCACTTAGCCTTGTTATTTCTTTTTCAGTCTTACTTTCCCTATGTGTGGGTAGCATAGTTGTTATGATCACAGATTCTGGAACAGCCTGGGTTTCTGTTCCTTCTCTGCAGTTTCCTAGCTGATGACTTCTCTGCACTGTAGCTTCTTCATATGGGAAAGAGGATATGCATGTTAACTCCTCCTGGGTTTTTGTGCAGATTATGTAAGTTTCTACATGTGAAGCATTTGGAGCAATACCTGGCATATAAATTGCTAGACAGGACAAGATCCATATCCGATTCATCTTTATCTGCTTACTAGCTTCTAGTAAGGAATTTTTGATTAAATGAAACCATGGAGTTTAGTTAGACCACGATTTTTTATTGTTTTTCAATGTCTGCCATTTGAGTGCATGAGAAATCTTTTTTTTTTTTTTTTTGAGTTGGAATCTCACTCTGTTGCCCAGACTGGAGTGCAGTGGCTGCTCCTGGCCACCGCAGCTTCAACCTGCTGGGTTCTGGCGATCCTTCCACCTCAGCCTTCCAAGTAGCTGGAACTACAGGTGCCCGCTACCACGCCCGGCTAATTTTTTTGATTTATTGTAGAGATGAGGTCTCGCCAAGTTGCCCAGGAGGGTCTTGGACCCGCGGGCTCAGGTAATCCACTCACCTCAGCCTCCCGAAGGCGTGGGATTACAGGGTGAGCCGCCGAGCCCGGCTGGACAAGTCTTTTTTTTCCTTGATTTTTTTTTTTTTTTTTTTGAGTTGGAGTCTCACTCTGTCACCCAGACTGGAGTGCAGTAGCCGCTCTCGGCCACCGCAGCCTCACCTGCTGGGCTCCGGTGATCCTTCTGCCTCAGCCTTCTGAGTAGCCGGAATTGCAGGCATGCACTATCACACCTGGCTGATTTTTTGATTTATTGTAGAGATGAGGTCTCGCTGCCCAGGCGGGTCTCGAACCCGCGGGCTCAGGCAATCCACTCACCTCAGCCTCCCAAAGGTGTGGGATTATAGGCTGAGCCACCGAGCCTGACTTTTTTTCCCCCTTGAAATCTTAGAGACTGAAACAGTTTATTTATAAGCTGCTTGTCCACACATATATGGATACTATTTTTAAGCCTGCGTACAGACTTTTTTGTTTTTATATATATATATTTTTAAATGAAAGTATATATATAAACTTGCCCTCTTTTTGTTTCCTCCTTCTCTAAGGTGTTTGTCTTTGGCACACTCACAGTGTATAGTTCTGAGTTTCAGTTAGGTGCAGTGGCTCATGTCTGTAATTCTAGCACTTCTGCTGAGGCAGAAGGATTACTTGAGACCAGGAGTTTGAGACCAGTCCTGGCAACACAGAGAGACCTTGTCTCTAACTAAAAGAAAAATTAACTGAGTGTGGTGGCCCATGCCTATAGTCTCAGCTACTTGGGAGGCTGAAGCAGAAAGATCCCTTGAGCCCAGGAGCTCAGAGTTGCAGTGAACTTTGATGGTACCACTGTACTCCAGCCTGGATGACAGAGCAAGACACTGTTTCTCAAAAATAAAGCAAAACAGTCCAGACTCGGTGACTCAGTCTGTAATCCCAGCACTTTGGGAGGCCGAGGCGAGTAGATTGCCTGAGCCTGTGGTATTTGAGACCTGCCTGGGCAACTTGGTGAGACCTCGTCTCTACAATAAATCACAAAAATTAGCTGGGCATGATGATGCATGCCTGTAGTTCCAGCTACTTGGAAGGCCGAGCTGGAAGGATCGCCAGAGCCCAGTAGGTTGAGGCTGCAGTGGCTGGGAGCATGCCACTGCACTCCACTGCAACAGAGTGAGACTCCAACTCAAAAAAAAAAAAGCAAAACAAACTTCAAATAAGTATGGTTGTGTAACTACCTCTCCTTCCCCCAGCCTCTGGTAACCACTGACCATTTTACTGTTCTTACAGTTTTATTTATTCCAGAATGTCTTGCAACGGGAACTAAACAGTATTATACATACTATTTTTTTAGTCATGCAAAGTATTCCTAAAATACACTTCGGCTGCAGATAAGATGTCTACTTGAGCAAAATGCCTGGAAAAAAGCAGACACTTGTTGAAAACTACTAAATAATTTAGCAGATCATGAATTAGATAGGTTTCACTTACACCGATTAACTTAGTAATCCAGTCATGGTGGTGGCTGACACTCACCTGGTACCTTTGCCCAGAGCAGTGCCTGGCATTGTTCCAAGGGCATTTGCTTACATGGGCTCAGTTCATCTTCACAGCAGCCCTCTGGATTGGCTACTTCCTTCTACACACATGGGAGATGGAGATGGAAATAGACGTAAAATGAGCTGAAAAGGAAGAATGAACTTTCTAGTGTTGAAGATCCAGGTTGGAGGGCTAGTGCCTTTTATGTCATTTAACATCTTTACCTCTCTGGCAGTGGAATTTGGTGGTTGCCCCACAGTACTGGCTCCGAGCAGGACCATTGTAAGTGTTGGCTGCTGTCTCTTAGATGTTGGTGGTCTGAGTGTCTCCTTCATGTAGTCTTTACTCAGAAACATAAGTGTGGGGGCAGTTGAGTCTCCTGGCAGTGTCTGTGAATGTTACATGTCCCTTTTTGTTTCCTCCTTCTCTAAGGTGTTTGTCTTTGGCACGCTCACAGAATGGCTGCACTTCTACAATCAATGGTTGTACTGCTGCCTGTGGATTGTGAATGGCCTGCTGCAGTCCACTGGCTGGCCCTGTGTGGTTGCTATTATGGGCAACTGGTTTGGAAAAGCTGGGTATGCCACTTCCTTCCTGTTTGATTTCTCTGTTTAAGTGGTTTTGATGTTGGATTACTCAGACTTGTCAAAGACACCACACATCTTTCCTCTATTTTAGAAAGTCAGAATAGTTCAAGGAGAGGACAGTTCACGTCATTATGTGTTGGAAATGGTGTGGACCTTAGAGATGATCCAGCCCAGGGGACACATTCCTAATGCTCTGGAGACTGTAGTCAGGCTTAGAGGCAATAGGTCTCAATTTCATTATATATATATTTTAACTTACCATCCCTTTAGACAATATAAAAATCTCATGTGCTGTCCATCATATGTCTTCCTTTGAGTTTTACCTTTCCTTTTTTTGAGACTCAATGATCTAGTTTAACCCTTTCACACTAAAGACAAGGAAATTGAGGCCAGAAGTTATCTATGTGACTTGCCTAAGGTCACGTAACAAGGGCTCTAATAAGACTCAGTTGAAGAATGCTGAACTTGGGCTTACTCAAATGGGAAACCTTCTTTGACTTTGTATGTGTGGTGTGGACCATGGGATACAAGTAGGTCCCTACTAAAGTTTCTTCTAGGCTGCCATGGAGGAAGAGTCACACTTAATTTATAGGATAGAAAATAAATTGAAGTCACCATAGACCTTGGCTTTGTTATCATTGTTGTACTCTGACTTTAGGAATATTATTAATGTGGAATTTTGTCATTTTTCCTAGATAGATATCTGGGACTTGTCAGGTACATATTGATCTCATCTGTAGTACTTTTTTGTATGTTTGCTCTTTCTTATGAGGACCAGTGCACACAGCAGACCTTGTCCACCCACCAAGCTGAGTGTGTGCTCTGGCTTGCTCCTCTCAGTTTTGCAGCTTTCCTGTTTATCAGCTTGCTTGTTTATCTACGTAATCTGTAACGTTGTGAACATTCACCTATAAAATGTCTTGTGGGTAGAATAAGCACCACTTAGTAAGAATGCTCTGACAATATTTCAGTGTGCTCGTGATTTTTTTGAGTTGGAGTTTCACTCTGTTGCCCAGACTGGAATGCAGTGGTATGCTCATGGCCACCCCAGTGTCGACCTGCTGGGCTCCAGCGATTCTTCCATCTCAGCCTTCCAAGTAGCCACAACTACAGGCATGCTACCACACCCGGCTAATTTTTGATTTATTGTGGAGACCAGTTCTCACCAAGTTGCCTGGGCTGGTCTCGAACACGCGGGCTAAGGCAATCCACTTGCCTCAGTCTCCCAAAGTGCTGGGATTACAGGCTGAGCCACCGAGCCTGGCCCTTGTGATTTCTATTCTAACCCTGTGTTCATTGGTTTAAAGAATTGTATTGTAGCTGTGCACAGTGGCTCATGCCTGTAATCCCAGCACTTTGGGAGAGGATTGCCTGAGCCCAGGAGTTCGAGACCAACCTGGGCAACTTGGAGAGACCTTGTCTTTACAATAAATAAAAAAAAATGCTGTGTGTGGTGACTCATGCTTGTAGTGTCAGCTACTTGGAAGGCTGAGGGGGAGGGATTGCCTGAGCCCAGTAGGTCAAGGATACGGTGGCCATGAGCGTGCCACTATGTTCAGGCCTGGACAACAAAGTGAGATTCTAACTCAAAAACTAAAAAATAAAATAATGACTTTTAAAAATATTTTTTAAAAAAGGATTTTAAGAGGCACCCCCTTGATACTTTAGCTTTCTTCTGAATTAGATGATGTTGCCTGATCATGTGTGGATTTTTGCTTTTAGTTAAACATTTTAAGGTAATTTTTTCCATTCATGAATTCTAAAAATTACACAGGCTGGGCGTGGTTGCTCATGCCTGCAATTCCAGCACTTTGGGAGGCTGAAACAGCAGGATTGTTTGAGTCTAGGAGTTCAAGACCAGCCTGGGCAACATAGCAAGACCTCGTCTCTACAAAAAAACCAAAAACATTAGCCAGATGTGGTGGCGCATGCCTGTAGTCCCAGCTACTTGGGATGCTGAGGTGGCATGGTTACCTAAGCCCAGGAGGTTGAGGCTGCAGTGAGCCATAATCATGCCACTGCATTCCAGCCTGGGTGACAGAATGAGACCTCAGTTCACCTAAAAATTAACAAAGGATGCTTGTTTATTGTAAATAAACCAGAACATATGAATGGACAAAGAGAAATAAAGGTTAAGTCAGCTGAGATCCTATCATGCAAAGAAAATTACTAGTTTTAACATGTATCATTTTGAGATAATTATTTTCTAAGCTTTTATAAATTGGATGACACTGAGTCTTTGATAGCAGTGACTGAACAATCTGACCACTTCATTAAAAGTCAAAAAAGCTATTGCAGTCACCTTTGGAAAGTAAGGTGGTTTGTTTTTATTTTTATTTTATTTTATTTTTTTTGAGTTGGAATCTCACTCTGTCGCCCAGACTGGAGTGCAGTGGCTGCTCCCGGCCACCGCAGCCTCAACCTGCTGGGCTCCGGTGATCCTGCCGCCTCAGCTTTCCAAGTAGCTGGAACTACAGGCGCGTGCTACCACACCGGCTAATTTTTTGATTTATTGTAGAGATGAGGTCTCACTAAGTTGCCCAGGGGGGGGTCTCGAACACGCGGGCTCAGGCAATCTACTCACCTCAGCCTCCCAAGGCGCTTGATTACAGGCCGAGCCACCGAGCCCGGCTGGGTGGTTTGTTTTTAAACAAGTACACTAGTGAGTAAAATCAATACTGCACTGCTTAGGCACTGTGATGTTCTGGTTAGTATAACCTATAAAGTCCACTGAAACTATGACAGATTAAAATCACCATTTTAATTTAAGCCAGTTTCTTCTGAAATCAACTTTTTAGTTAGCTAGTGTTATCCACATCCTGACCTTCTGACTGATCCCTCCATGACCCTCTTGATAGACTTAAGATTTTAGAGTATTGGGTTCTTTGGAACTGGAGGAATTTAGAGACTATCTGGTTCTGCCCCCTTCTTTTCCAGGTGATAAAATTTGGGTCCATAGAAATTAAGAGGTCTACTGAGGACATTGCCCTTAAATAACTTAATTTGGATGAGTCATGTTGTAGCTCAGGTTGTCAGGGTCCTGATTTTTTAAAAAATAAATTTAGACTAGGAGCCAGGTACAATGGCCTGTAATCCCAGTTACTTGGGAGGCTGAGGTAGGAGGATCTCTTGAGCCCCGGAGTCGAGGCTGCAGGGGGAAGGGGGAGACAGGAGTGAGATCCTGTCACAGAATGAGATCCTGTCTCCCCTGCCCCCAAAAAGACAAATTTAGACTAGGTAATAATAATGCTCCCATGTGTACAACATCCAGCCCTTTCTTCTGTATTGTTGCACCCTGTTCTTTTTTTTTTTTTTTTTGAGTTGGAGCCTCACTTGGTTGCCCAGACTGGAGTGCAGTGGCCGCTTCCGGCCACCGCAGCCTCGCTTGCTGGGCTCCGGCGATCCTTCCGCGTCAGCCTTCCGAGTAGCTGGAATTACAGGCATGCGCTACCACGCTCGGCTGATTTTTTGATTTACTGTAGAGATGAGGTCTCGCTGCCCGGGCGGGTCTTGAACCCGCGGACTCAGGCAATCCACTCACCTCAGCCTCCCAAAGGCGCGGGATTACAGGCTGAGCCACCGAGCCCGGCTATACCCTGTTCTTTGAGGAGCACAACTTCTTCTTTTTTTAAAATTTGTTTTTGAGATGGAGTCTCACTTCGTCACCCAGGCTGGAGTGGAGTGACACATTCATGGTGATCCTTTTGCCTCAGCCTTCCAAGTAGCTGGAACTGTAGGCACTTGCTACCATGCCTGGCTAATTTTATTTATTTATTTATGTATTTATTTATTTATTTTAGAGATGAGGTCTCACCAAGTTGCCTAGGTTGTCTTGAACCTGTGGGCTCAGGCAGTCTACTCACCTCGGCTTCCCAGGGTGCTGGGAATATAGGCATGAGCCAGCCGAGGAGCACAACTTCTTACAGATAAGAACACCCAGTTTCTGCTTGCAACTTGCATGTGATTGATTACCCAGCTGGAAGTGACAGGCCTGGACTTTTGAACAGATTTTGTTTTCACTGTATGGTGTTGACTACCTGTTCATAAAATTCTTTTGTCCCAGTGAGGTTAGAAAAATGTTTAAAGACCTGAATAATGGTAGACCTCACTTAGTGGGTTACTATATATATCAAATAGAATAACATTCTAATTTGAGCTTTAAAAAATTTACTTAAATCTTTTTTCTTTCACTATTCCTATTGTTTTTGCCTATATTCAGAGCTAATCATTTCTCTCTAGGACTACTGTAATTTTTTTTTTTTTTTAGACAGGTTCTTTCTCCATCACCCCAGCTGGTTTACAGTGGCACAATCATGGCTCACTGCAGCCTTGAACTCTTGGGCTGAAGTGATTCACCTACCTCAGCCTGAGTGCTTGGGATTATAGATGTGTGCCACCACGCCTGGCTAATTTTTAACTTTAATCTAGAGATGAAGTCTCACCATGTTGCCCAGGCTGGTCTCGAACCCCTGGACTCAGGCAATCCTCTCACCTTTGTGCCTCCCAAAGTGCTGTGATTACAGGCGTTAGCCACTGCGCCCAGCTAACAATTTTTTAAAAATTCTATTTTATTATTGAGTACATAAATGGTACAAGTGAGGATTAACTACATAAGTAGGCTGCTTGCAGATGAAGTTTGGGCTTCTAACTGACCCTCGCTCCCTGTGATAGTCGACCAGCGACCCTTCGTGTTGTCACGTGCCCCCCCATTCTCCTTCTTCTCTTCCTATCTGGTATATTATACATTTTTAAAAAATTAGAATGTTTCTTTATAATACCTTCACTATTTGGCCACTTTGTTGAATGTACACAGAAGCCCTTCTGATTCGATTGTCCTCTGTCTCCCAATGTTCTACATTTCAGACGAGGAGTTGTTTTTGGTCTCTGGAGTGCCTGTGCTTCAGTGGGCAATATTTTGGGAGCATGCCTAGCTTCTTCTGTTCTGCAGTATGGTTATGAGGTAGGTATTTTTTCCTAGCTTTTTCGTGTGTGTCGTGTGTATGTATGTATACATACTGCTTTTTATGAAATAACATTGTGGCATTTAAAACCACCTAAAGCTGTTTCTGAGTAGGGCAAGGCTTTTATTAAAGTGGACAAACTGCCAGGCACAGTCTCATGCCTATAATCCCAGCACTTTGGGAAGTGGAGGTGAGAAGATTGCCTGAGCCCATGGGTTTGAGACCAGCCTGGGCAACATGGTGAGACCTCATCTCTACAATAAATAAAAAAATTAGCTGAGCATCTTGGTGCATGACTGTAATTCCAGCTTCTTGGAAGGCTGAGGTAGAAGGATCACCTGAGCCCAGCAGGTCAAGGCTGTGGTGGCTTTGAGTGCCACTGCGCTCGGGCCTGGGTGGCAGAGTAGACTCCAACTAAAAAATAAATAAATAAAAACATAGATAAATAAATAAATAAAATTCAAAGTGGATAAACATGTAAAAAATTTACTCATGGTAAAAGCACCATAAGAGAATCTGAAGACAGACTGGGCATTGTGGCTCATGCCTGTAATCCCAGCACTTTGGGAAGCCAAGGCGGGTGGATCAGTTGAGTCCAGGAGTTTGAGACTAGCCTGGGCAACATAGTGAGACCTTGTCTCTATAAAAAAAAAAGTAATAATAATAATAAATTATAAGACATACTGCCAATTGTGAAGAAGCATTTGCAACTTATGTTGCAGATAGAGGGCTACCTCAGCATATAACAGGTACCCACAAATTGATAAGAAAAATATCAGCAGAAAGAAAGGTAAAGAATGTGAACATGTAGTTGATGGAAAGGAAATAAAAAGTGGCTCAAGCCTGTAATCCCGGCACTTTGGGAAGCCAAGATGAGAGGATTGCCTGAGCTCAGGGGTTTGAGACCAGCTTGGGCAACTTGGTGAGACCTTGTCATCATCAGGCAAGGCACAGTGCTCATCCCAGCACTTTGGGATGCTGAGGTGAGAGAATTGCCTGAGCCCGCGGGTTCGAGACCAGCCTGGGCAACTTGGCTAGCTCTCATCTTTACAGTAAGTCACAAAATTAGCCGGGTGTGGTGATGCGTGGCTATAATTCTAGCTACTTGGAGGGCTGAGGCAGAAGGATCTCCTGAGCCCAGCAGGTTGAGGCTATGGTGATTGTGAGCATGCCACTGCACTCCAGCCTGGGCAGCAGAGTGAGACTCCGACTCAAAACAAAAAAAAACAGAAAAAAAACAGAAAAAAAGAAAAACGACATTGTGTACTTTGGTTAAAATCCAGAGTGTTTTTTAACTTTTTTTAAAATCCAGAAATTTGAACACATGTAGCATTTATGAGGAGCTAAAGAAACAGACATTGCAGTTGAGAGAGTAAGTAACTTCTAGAGGGGTCAGTATCAATCTACAACTACTCTGGCCAGTTATGATGGTTCACACCTGTAATCCCAGCATTTTGTGAAGCTGAGATGGGAGGATTGTTTGAGCTCAGCTGTTTGAGACCAATTTGGGCAATGTAGTGAGACCTCTTCTCTACAAGAAATAAAAATATTATGCCAGGTGCAATGACTTATTCCTGCAATCTCAGCCCTTAGGAATGTGGAGGCAGGAGGATTGCCTGAGCCTTGGAGTTCAAGACCATCCTGGGCAACATAGTGAGACCTCATCTCTACAAAAAATTAAAGTTAGCCAGATGTGATAGCATGTGCCTGTAGTCTCAGCTACTTAGGAGGCAGAGGTGGAAGGATTGCTTGGGCCCAGGAGGTTGAGGCTGTGATGATCCGTGATGGTGCCACTGTCCTCAAGTCTAGGTGACAAAGTGAGACCCCGACTCAAAACAAAACAAAGTAAAGCAAAAAACCTACAACTATTCTGAGCAGTTCCACCTACAGGAATTAGTCAGATTGGTGAATAGACTTGAAACGTGTATAGCTGATGTATCTACAGGGTTCTTTATTTCTGCATTATTTGCAATAGCCAAAGACTGAAGCCAGTGTCAACCAATAGCGAACTAGTTGAGCTGTGGTATTTGTTCAAAGGAAGGCTGTGCAACTGTGAAGTGGACTTAGGAAGCTCTCAGTGTACTGATGGAGATCAGTTCACTGGAGCATTCTTGGGGTGTATTAAGTAAAGAAAGCAAGGGTGAAAAACTGTAGTGAATGATGCTATTTGTGTAAAAGGGGAGAATGAAGGAGTATATATTGTTAGTATTAACTTGTATCTTTCCAAACCAATCTCTGGACGGTAAAAGCTAGCAACAATGGTTATATGTTCTGAAAATTGGGAGAATTGAGTTGATGGGGAAGCAGAGTGGGAGGGAGAGATTTTACTGCACATTGTATTACTTTTTGTTGCTTGAATCATGTGAATATACTGCCTACTTGAAAAATAATTAAAAGTAAGTAAGCTGCCGTTTTAAAAAGTCGATAAATTTTTAAACAGCTCACCGAGAACTTTGGCTTCACTTAGTGTCCGTGAGCAGTCCTTCCTTTATTCGTGGTCTACTTTATTTTAGGCTTCGTAGCTTCACATCTGAATTGTACTCATTGATTCACATGGGATTTCACTTCACCCTCTGTGCTGCTCCCAGAGTTGACTTCTGAAAACACTGCTTTAATTTTGTCATTTGTGTAAAAGTTCAACCTGTCTGTCCACATCAGGTCCCAGTCTCTGTTAAATAAAATTCAGCTATGAGCTTGCTGGTTGAGAGTTTTTTTTTTCTTTTTTAAGACAAGAAAACCTGTTGCCCAGCTTGGAGTGCAGTGGTGTGATCATAGCTCACTCCTAAACTTAAGTGATCCTTCCGCTTCAGTCTTCCAAGAAGCTGAGACTACAGGAGTGCGCCATCATACCCAGCTAATTTTTAATATTTTTTGTAGAGAAAGTCTTGCTATATGCCCAGGCTGGTCTCTAACTCCTGGCTTCAAGCAATCTTCCCACCTTGGCCTCCAAAAGTGTTGGGATTATAGGTGTGATCTACCATACCTGGCCTGATTGAGAGCCTTGAATCTTACTGTCGCCTTTTCAGGTCAGTTTTTTTTTTTGGAGTTGGAGTCTCACTGTGTCACCCAGACTGGAGTGCAGTGGCCGCTTCCGGCTACCGCAGCCTCGACCTGCTGGGCTCCGGTGATCCTTCTGCCTCAGCCTTCCAAGTAGCCAGAATTACAGGCATGCACTACCACGCCCGGCTGATTTTTTTTTATTTATTGTAGAGATGAGGTCTCGCTGCCCAGGCGGGTCTCGAACCCGCGGGCTCAGGCAATCACTCACCTCAGCCTCCCAAAGGTGCAGGATTACAGGCTGAGCCACCGAGCCTGGCTGTTCAGATCAGTTTTATTCCTCATTTTCTCCTAGAGGAAACCTTCTTTAGCCATGCAGTAAACTTACTTTCTCTCTTGCTGTGTGCCTTTGCTTACAGTGTGCCATGAGGGTGGGCAGTTGCTTTGATTTTTTTTTTTTTTTGAGTTGAGAGTCTTACTCTGTCACCCAGGCTGGAGTGCAGTGGCATACTCCCAGCCACCGCAACCTTGACTTGCTGGATTCAGGCAATCCTTCCACCTCAGCCTACCAAATAGCCGGAACTACAGGTGTGTGCTCCTACACCTGGCTAATTTTTTTTTTTTGATTTATTGTAGAGATGAGGTCTCACCATGGTGCCCAGGCTGGTCTCGAACCCGTGGGCTCAAGCAATCCTCTCGCCTTGACCTCCCAAAGTGCTGGGATTATAGGCATGAACCACCGTGTCCAGCTGATTTTTTTGTTTTTTTTTTTGAGTTGGAGTCTCACTCTGTCGCAGCTAGACAATGCAGTAGAAAAGAGTTAAAAATATAGCCGGTTTTTAACTCTTTTCTACTGCATTGTCTAGCTGCTTTAGCCTCTTTAGTTGTTTCTTTCTGAATTCCTATGTGTGCTTTTTCTAGCACTGGGCCTTCTCATTTATTCAGCTTATAATGTTTTGTATGTTGTTTAACCCCCTCAACTGGATACAGTATCTTCAAGGGCATATGCTGTGTCTTTTGTGGGAGGCTGTGTGATGCAAAGAACTAGATTTTTGGAGCCAGTCCTGATTTTACAATTGTAAGAGTGCTACTTAGTATCCTGGGGCCTCACATTATCCTTTCTGAGCCTCTTAGAGTTACTGGGAAAAATTCAGTGAGAAGACACTTTGCACGGTACCTGGCCTGGTATTGGCACTCAGTGCTCATTCCCTTCCCATCTGCCTGGTCTTCCCGCCTCCTATACATGCTCCCTAATGAATGTGTCCTCAGATGACTGCCCTCAGATATGTGAGCATCACTTCTCCCCTTTCCTGCAGTATGCCTTTCTGGTGACCGCATCTGTGCAGTTTGCTGGTGGGATCGTTATCTTCTTTGGACTCCTGGTGTCACCAGAAGAAATTGGTGAGAAGTTGTCTCTTCTTTCAGAATGTCTTACTGTTATGGCCAAAGGGAATCTGAGGCCAGGAAACCAAATCTCTTTTTTCCTAGGGAAACTGTGAGCTCTTTTAGTGAATTAGAGAACAGAGAACAGTACCGCTGTTTGTCTCCTGTCAACATGGTAGCCAACCCTTGGCACAGCTGTGCATGTCTGAGGGGAGTGACGCACATCTTTTACAGATACAGGAAAAGTTAGCATTTGCAGATGATTTTAGAATCGAGACACTAACTATGAATTAGCATGATATATTTCTAATTTCACTTCTTCAGACAGATTTCATTCATAAAAATGATAATTATCTGTCGCTAAATACAGAATATATATAAGTGAAACCATGAAAACAAAGAGATACACAATTCTTCCAAGTATTTTTGACAAGCTATGTGAGCTTAACCGACCTTAGTTGCTTCTTCTGTAAAATGGAAATAAAAATAATGTTGACCCCATAAGTAGTGATATATGCAAAGCCTTAGCACAGTGCCAGGCACATAGTAGGTACTTATTAATGGTCACTGTCATTGTTTTAGGTCTCTCAAGTATTGAAGCAGAAGCAAATTTTGAAGAAGACTCCCACAGGCCGTTAATTAATGGTGCTGAAAATGAGGATGACTATGAGCCTAATTATTCAGTCCAAGAGGACAGTGCTGTTACCCAAGTCAAGGCCATTAGCTTCTATCAGGCCTGCTGCCTCCCTGGAGTCATACCGGTACGGACTGTTCCCATCTCCTTGACGCAGCTAGTGAGATACTACAGCTTTGATATTTACATTGCCTGGGATAAAGCTTAAGTATTTAGCTTCTCTTTGATACTTTATCTTAGGAATGTATGTTCAAAAGCATAGTCACTCATGCTTCTTAGCTTATCTGATAGCTAATGCAGGCATTGGCATATCTTTTCCACGAAGAGTCAGAGACTAAGTATTTTCAGCTATGGGGGAACCCTGTAATCTCTACCACAACTACTCAGTTCTGTAGGACAGAAGACGCTGTAGATAGTGTGAGACGGATAGGTGTGGCCAGCTGTGGCCCATGAACCCTGGTTTGCTATGATCTAGCACATGACTAAGAAGGAAAAGTTGATACTTTTAAGTATATAGTTTTTGGCCTCTTGAAGTATTACAGAATTATATATAGGCCAAGAAGGACTTTGAATAGTTCATTAAGTCTGCTTTATTTGCCTACATCCTAATCGTTCTGTGGGGGAAATATTGTTTACCCTTTTAAAAAAGATTTAAAACAGAGTACTCCACAGTATTTCTTGGTAATGCATTCCAGTGTTTCCACAACCTTTACAGTCAGGAAGACTTTCTAATGTCTGAACTAAATCCCTTCTGCTGCAGTTTTTGTCTTGATGTTTCGGGCATTCTAGCACTGGAGTGAAGGCTAAGAGGCCTAGGTTGTGTGTCCAGCTTACCCACTAACTTTCTGTGAGACCTGGGGTAAGTTGCTCCACTTGTCCTCGTGCCTCAGTTCCCCTTCCCGTGGCTCTTATACAGCATTTCCTGGGGCCTGTGACTTGGGGCTGTTTGTTGTGAACAGGCACCTGTTTTTGTTATTTAATTTGCCAGTGGTGCTTTATGAATGTGGGGGAGACTCAAAGTCTACAGGCCGTCTTAGTACATACTCATCAGTTCCCTTCTGTCTGTGCCCCAAGCTATGAGAAGTAACATTTCAAGCAGATAGTTGGCTGGGTGCAGTGGCTCATGCCTATAACCCCAGCACTTTGGGAGGCCGAGGTGAGAGAATTGCCTGAGCCCGTGGGTTCGAGACCAGCCTGGGCAATTTGGCAAGACCTCATATCTACAATAATAATAATAAAACATTAGCTAGACATGGTGGTGCATGCCTGTAGTTCCAGTTACTTAGAAGGCTGAGGTGGAAGGATAGCCTGAGCTCAGCAGGTTGAGGCTGCCGTGGCCGAGAGCATGCCCCTGCCCTCCAGCCTGGGTGATGGAGTGAACCTCCAAGTCAAAAACAAAACCAAACCAAACCAAAAACAGATAGTTAAGTATGAGTTAAAATGTAAGTGTAATTTTCTGCAATTTTTTAACCCAAAGATGATAAATAAAGGACACACAGATTCCTTTAGGCCTATTCTTATGCTAATGGTTATTATTTTTTTAACCAGTTATTAAAATAATCTGGTAATAGTTTAATTTTTGAGACAGGACTCAAAGTTATGACTAAATATGGAGTCTTGCTGTTCCTTTGTTCTTCACAAGCTATTGTTCGCTCCTGTGGGCAGGGACGTAAAGGAAATCTAGTTAACTTAATTCCTTTGTCTTTGTAGCAGGCTGTCTGGACAACATGCACTCATGATTGGGACTTGGCTCTCTAGGGGGTTACTGTTGGCTGCCAGGGAAGCTGTTTTAAAACAAGTGATACCTAGGGAATAACTGGCAGCTCCAGGGAAAGAATACCAGCCAGATACCCTTTGAAGTCAGCCTCTCTGCTCCTCCCCTTTTTCCTTTGATGCTGAATGTCAGGATTTCCTGGTAATAATGTGTTGAATATAGGCGTCCCAGCCCACCACCGCCTTAAGACAGCTGCAGCTTTCTTCCTCTCAGAGGAAGACATGACCAGCAATGACCACGTTCTTTCATTTTTGACTCATCAGAGATGCTCTCTTCCACTGGATAGGGGAGCTTTTAGAAACCGTGTGTGGGAATAGTTTTAATGTTGCTGCTTTCCTGAGACCTTTCAATCGTAGGCGACTTACTGGCCATTATTCACAAGATCAGCTTTGCAGGGATAGTTTAACTGATTGTAGGAGAGGTTCATTTGTCTATGGAGCATGCTGGATAGTGGCAGGAATACCATTGATCTTTGTGTGAATAAAGACATGCAGGTATGTGCCCTGCCTTCTAGGTTCAAAACACTGATTTGCTTCTACCAGAGAACTGAAAGGAGAAGAAACTTGGGACAATTAAGAAATAGCTATATGTGTTTTTTATTCCAAAGGCCTGCTGAGCTTGCCTGTCAGAAGCTAACGGGGATACAGAGCAGAGGGAGGCTGGGTGAAGTCAGGCGTGTGGGAATTTGTGGGGATGCTTAATTGTTCATTCCAACTTCTTCACTTTGTTTTGCTTTTTAATTACATTAAAAATTGTGGTTGTGCTGTGTCTCTCTTACTAGTAATTGCATGTTTTTTTGTAGTATTCCTTGGCCTACGCCTGCTTGAAGTTAGTGAATTACTCCTTTTTCTTCTGGTTGCCCTTTTATCTGAGTAACAACTTCGGCTGGAAGGAGGCTGAAGCCGACAAGCTGTCCATTTGGTATGATGTCGGAGGAATCATAGGTATGCCAATGATGCGTCTTTTCCGTAATAAAGAGTTAAAGTCACTTGTCATTTTTTTCTTGGTTGTGAAATATGGCTTCTTTTAAAGTTGTATTACTTATTCCACAGCCATTTTCCCTAAACTGTCCTACAAGTAAACAAACTCTTTAAAATAAAATTTAAAAAGAGGCCAATGGAAGACAAGACACAGCCTAAGGCCAGCCTCTGATTTATAGGGCTCTTTTTTCTCAGTCCTCTGTTGATAGATTGGTTCTTTTGTCTTTGAAGCACACAGGAGTTTCTTTGGAGGCAATTCTCTCATACATTTTCACTGATAGCTCTAGCTAGTTGTATGTCAGAGATCTAATTTAGAATATGAATATTAATTTTTCTACCTCCCACCTTTCCCACCACCCCCAACCAAAGGGAAAATACAGTAATTCCCCTTATTTGCAATTTTGCTTTCCGAAGTTTCAGTTGCTCTTATACAGTACAATAAAAGATTTTCAGAGAAAGAGAAACCATTCACACTAACAATTTTTTTTTTTTTGAGTCAGGGTCTCACTCTGTTGCCCAGGCTGGAGTGCAGCGTCACAATCATGACTCACCACAGCCTCCACCTCCTGGGCTCAGGTGATCCTTCTGCCACAGCCTCCCGAGTAGCTGGGACTACAGGCATGCACCACCATGCCTGCTTAGTTTTTTAATTTTTTTTGTAGGAGTGAGGTCTCACTGTGTTGCCCAGGGTGGTTTCAAACTCCTGGGCTCAAACAGTATGCTCTCCTTGGCCTCTCAAAGAAATAGGATTACAGACAGGAGCCCAGCCCACATTAACTTTTTATTATAGTAATTTTTTGTTTTGTTGTTAGTTATTATTATTGATTACTTACTTTGCCTAATTTATAAATTAAACTTTATCATAAGCATGTATGAACAGGTAAAAACACATAGTATATATAGAGTTTGGCACTATCCCTGGTTTCAGGCATCCATTTGTGGTCTTTAGAACATACTCCCTGAGAATAAAGGGGAGGTGCTAATATAATACCTTAGTGTGTAGATTGTCAGATCATAACGTAAGGAATAACAGCATAGAGGTAGGAATAATAGCAGGGGTTAATTTTTGTGTTTTGCATTGTAAACATGTTACTATAAACAGAGTTTAATAGTGACTTTTTTGTTCTTTTTGAGTCAGAGGCTCACTCTGTCATCCAGGCTGGAGTGCAGTGGAATGCTCATGGCCACTACAGCCTTGACCTGCTGGGCTCAGGTGATCCTTCCACCTCAAGCCTTCTAAGTAGCTTTGGAATCATAGGCACGTGCCATCATGCTTGGCTAAATTTTTGATTTATTGTAGAGACAAGGTCTTGCCAAGTTGCCCAGGCTGGTCTCGAACTCCTGAGCTCAGGCAATCTTCCTCTTGCCTCTGCCTCCCAAAGTGCTAGGATTATAGGCGTGAGCCACTGCCTTCAGCAATAGTGGCTTTTTGCTAGAGCCAGTACTAAGAACAAGGAAGTAAGAAACTGGAAAATAAGATGACAGTATATTTTAGTGAGTATTACTCATATGGCTATGACAAAACCTTCGTATCCTTTCTATAATGTTTACATTTAGAATTATGGTAAGAGTGAATGTCCTGAGCACCTGAAAGCACTCAGTGTATCCTAGGTGATATACTGTTACTGTATTTGACCTTGGCCACCTTTATTCTTGAATCCAGAGCCAAAGGCGAGGCTGCCAATTTTGGATCTCACCAGACATCTGCCCAAGTGCCTGCTCTCTGATAAGGACATGCCAGATGCCCCATAGCCCCAGAACTCAAAGTGACAGTGCTGCTTGAAGGGCTCATATCACCTCCTTGTAAACATCCTGACCTATTTGTTATTACCAAACCACAATTGCTGCATTTAATTTTCTTTTTTTTTTTTTGAGTTGGAGTCTCACTCTGTTGCCCAGACTGGAGTGCAGTGGCCGCTCCCGGCCACCACAGCCTCGCCCTGCTGGGCTCCAGCGATCCTTCTGTCTCAGCCTTCCGAGTAGCCAGAATTACAGGCGTGCGCTACCACGCCTGGTTAGTTTTTGATTTATTGTAGGGATGAGGTCTCGCCAAGTTACCCAGGCAGGTCTCGAACCCGCGGGCTCAGGCAATTCATTCACCTCAGCCTTCCAAGGCGTGGGATTACAGGCTGAGCCACCGAGCCCAGCTGCATTTAATTTTCATGGCTATTTATTGACCACTATTAGCAGCCTATAAGGCATGGTTCTTAATTAATCTTTTTTTTTTTTTTGAGTTGGAGTCTCACTCTCGTCCAGGCTGGAGTGCAGTGGCACACTCGCTGCCACTGCAGCATTGACCTGCTGGGCTCTAGCGATCCTTCTGCCTCAGCCTTCCAAGTAGCTGGAACTAAAGGCATGCGCTACCACGCCCAGCTAGTTTTTTTATTTATTGTAGAGACAAGGTCACACCAAGTTGCCTGGACTGGTCTCAAACTCCTGGGCTCAGGCAATCCTCTCACCTTGGCCTCCCAAAGTGCTGGGATTATAGGCTTGAGCCACCGCACCCGGCAGTTAATGTTTTTTAAAATTAAAAAGCAGAAAAATCAGAAATAACATCCACAGCTTGTTTTTATAAGTGTTAATAAATGGCTTTGATAATTTTTCCATTTTTCTTATTTTGATGTCTTTGTGGTATCCTGCCCCTATGAGCTGCCATGGGAATTTAATAGTTTGCCTTCCTTTTTTTTTTTCCTTTTTTTTTTTCCTGAGTTGTAGTCTTACTCTGTCACCCAGACTGGAGTGCAGTGGTACACTCCCAGCCACCCCAGCCTTGACCTGCTGGGCTCCGGTGATCCTTCCGCCTCAGTCTTCTGAGTAGCGGGAATTACAGGCGTGTGCTACCACGCCCGGTTAGTTTTTGATTTATTGTAGAGATGAGGTCTCGCCTAGTTGCCCAGGCAGGTCTCCAACCCGCGGGCTCAGGCAGTCCACTCACCTCAGGCTCCCAAAGGGCGGGATTATAGGCTGAGCCACCGAGCCCGGCTTAGTTTGCCTTTCAAAAAGGACTTTATAGAGGAAACTTTCTCAGAGAGTCAGCCATCTTTTTGACTAGACCAGTGTTATGATCCTCATTCCTCATACCTCACACCTCAGGTGACTGAACTAAATTAGAAATGGTTTTGATTTTGCCGTGCTCTCTGTGCTTGAAGGTGGAACTTTGCAAGGCTTCATCTCTGACATACTACAGAAGAGAGCGCCGGTTTTAGCCCTGAGTCTGCTTCTGGCAGTTGGGTCCCTCATCGGGTATAGTCGTGAGTATTTCTTTGTAGTTATGTTGTTTCCCTGCTCTGATAGGAGGAAGGCATTTGCCTGGAGTCAGTGATCAGTCCTGGGAAGAACCTTGAGACCAGCTACAAGGCATGATATGCCACCTCTGTGTTGTCCATCTGAATGCCTGGGAAAGCTGTTACCACGTTGTTTTGTTTTATTTGTGTCGGGAGGAAACGGGCATCTCTTCTGCTTTGTTGATTTGTTTAAAAGCTTGCTTGGAGTGTATGTGCTTTGTTTGAGGGGAGGCTCCAGAGAGACAGCGTTATAGCCAATAAAACAATAAAGGGGGGCAGGTTTCAAAAGCGGAAAGATGGTAATTAGTAGTCTTGGGCTATGTCCCTTAAGAGGCTGCTGAGACAGCAGGAGAGCTTTTCTTTAGCTTTTAGAAGCCTCATTAGTTTGAGCACCACAAGAGGCAGACATGACAAATAAAAGTTGGAAGAGGCAGTGAAAGAGTTGTATATGTGTTGCCTAGGAGTGACTTATGAGGTCTCTGTGTGCTGCTGGGCGCGGCACAGGCACATGTCACCGGCCGTTCAAGTCACCATGGTGTATCTGTGTGTTCCCTTCAGGTTCTCCAGATGATAAGTCCATCAATGCGCTGCTGATGACTGTCACAGGTAGGCACGTGGCTCAGTTTCACTGGGAAGTTGCTGTCAGTTCAGGGAGAAGGGACACTTTTCTTCCTCCGTTTGAATAATACCAAATCCTTAATTATAGAGAACTCAAATGGTGAGAAGAAAGACGTGTCCTTTTCCAGATTGTATTTCTCTGCTGTCCTGTGGCCTCCTCAGTCCTATTGCGGCAGAAGTGGTCCCTACTGGCAGATTTTCTAGAGATTTTGATTGCTACCCTACTTCTGGCATTGCTCTGGATGCCACTCTGGAAACCAGTTCACCATCTTTCAGAAGTCCAGGGTAGCTAGTTTTTCTCCCTATGTTGGAATTGGTAAGTACTTCTTCCCTTGAGCAGTAGATGAAATAGTTGGGTGCAGTTAGGGAACATGTTATGAGAAAATGACTTCTTAAACTTGAGATCATGCTCGGGAGAGTGAGCTGCTTGTGGCTGCCCAATGCAGGGAGCTAATTCCAGGAACGGCTGGCTCCTGTGGGCCATCCCTGCTTGAGCCTTGGGCAGGTGGAGTCACCGCCTGCTTCAAGAACTGTCAGACAGGGTGTGGTGGTGCATGCCTGTAATCCCAGCACTTTGGGAGGTGGAGACCAGAGGATTACTTGAGCCCACGGGTTTGAGACCAACCTGGGCAACTGGTGAGACCTTATCTCTACAATAAATAAATAAAAAATTAGCCGGGCATGAGGGCACACGCCTGTAGTTCCAGCTACTTGGAAGACTGAGGTGGAAGGATCATCTGAGCCCAGCAGGTGAAGACTGCAGTGGCTGTTAGCAGTGTGTCACTGTACTGCAGTCTGGGTGACAGAGTGAGACTCTGACTCAAAAAAAAAAAAGAACTCTCTCTTCTTCTCTGGTTGGTTGAATTTGGATAAGTCAAGTGTTCACATGGTGCAACTCTACTGTAATAGAAGGTGTTTGACAAGTGAGTGCAGTTAGTATTCATGAATATTACTTTACAGGTTTATGGTGTTTTTCACTATATTTTTTGTATTTTGGGGTTCTGTAAGGTATGCTAGAGTGTCATAATTCAAGAAGAGATTTCAGAAAAGTAGATGCTAACTAGTTTGAGGATGTTACTTGTTTGGGAGAGTTGCCTTTTATATTTTCATTTATCTTCAACACATGAAGTGTGAGATATTGGGATATTGTGCCTGACCCAGTAGATTCCTAGTAGTGCTGTGACTTGTGTTTTTTTTTAAATTTTTTTAGTAGACGTCTCACTCTGTTGCCCAGGCTGGAGTGCAGTGCACTCTCACGGCTACTGTAGTCTTGACCTGCTGGGCTCAGGAGATCCTTCCACCTCAGCTTTTCAAGTAGCTGGAACTACAGGTGCATGCCAACACACCCAGCTAATTTTTTGATTTATTGTAGAGATGAAGTCTCTCCATGTTGCTCAGGCTGGTCTTGAACGCTTGGGCACAGGCAATCCTCTCACCTTTGCCATGTGCTGGGATTACAGGCTTGAGCCATTGTGCTCGGCTACTTGTGTTTTAATAAGAACCTCTTCTGTTTGTGACCTCAGGATTTTTTATCGGTGGACCTTCTAACATGATTAGCTCTGCTATTTCTGCGGATCTGGGTCGCCAGGAGCTGATCCAAGGGAGCAGTGAAGCTTTGGCAACTGTCACAGGAATTGTTGATGGGACAGGGAGCATTGGAGCTGCCGTGGGCCAGGTGAGAGAGGAAGGACAGCGGGGTTGGGATTCCAGTGTTTCCTTCTTTCAAGGGTGGAAGAATGCCCGCCTTCCCACTCTGCCGCAGTAGGGGGCGCTCTTGTGCTGTAGAATACTGAACTGGAAGCCTGAGGGCTTCCCTCTCCTTGGAGGACCAGCTGATGTGTGTCCTGTGTGGAAGGACCTTCTGCCTTTTTCAGTTCTCTCTTTCCACTCTTGCTTCCAGATACTTCCCATCTGCGAATAGGCTATGACTCATAAGACAGACTCTTCTGCCCCTGCCCACAGCACTCTTCTTTCCAGTCTGACTTGGCCCTCCACAGTAGGGGGCTGGAGGGGTGAGACACATGCTTCTTGCTGCTCCCACCTGGCAAAACCATGCCTTTTCTCCTCTCTCCTGTCTCCCTCTGGCACACTCTCATCCACACACACGTTCCTTACATGGATCTCACCAGACATGGCCTTGGACTCTCCAGCAGCCTTTTAGTCACTTTTTCTGGTTCCTGCATGTCCAAAAACCGATGGCTGTATTTCAAAGGCTGGTTCATAAATGTTGTGTATCAGAGTAATCTGGGACACTCATTAAAAGAACACTGAGCTGGCCAGACACAGTGGCTCATGCCTAAATTCCAGCATTTGGGTCGAGGTGAGAGGATTGCCTGAGCCCTTGGGTTCGAGACCAGCCTGGGCATCTTGGCGAGACCTCATCTCTACAATAAATAAAAAAGTTAGCCGGGCGTGGTGGCGCATTCTTGTGGTTCCAGCTACTTGGAAGGCTAAGGTGGAAGGATCGTCTGAGCCCAGCAGGTAGAGGCGGTGGTGGCTGTGAGTGTGTCACTGCACTCCAGCCTGGGCGACAGAGTGAGATTCTGACTCAAAAAAAAAAAAAAAAGAACACTGAGCTTACTGTAGACTCCCTGAGTTAGAGCCTGAGGGTCTGCTTTTTTTTTTTGAGTAGGAGTCTTGCTCTGTTCCCCAGAATGGAGTGCAGTGTCACACTTACAACCATTATAGTGTTGACCTGCTGGACTCAGGTGATCCTTCCGCTTCAGCCTTCCAAGTAGCTAGAACACAGGTGCATGCCACCACACCTGGCTAATTTTTTGATTTATTGTAGAGATGAGTTCTCACCAAGTTGCCCAGGCTGCTTGAACCCTTGGGCTCAGGCAATCCTCTTGCCTCCGCCTCCCAAAGTGCTGGGATTACAGGTGTGAGCCACTGTGCTCAGTCTGGATCTGAATTTTCAACAAGCCATCTTAGTGATTCTCATGCTCTCTGATATTTGAAATTCTCTAAGCAAAGTTTGTGCAACTATACACAGACCAAACTATTCAAATTGACCTTTGTTTTACATAAATTCAGGTCTTCTCTCAGACAGGTATATCTTCTCTGGGACAATCATGAGTCATGCCTCTTCTGGGGTATACCACTCCGGGTTATGGAGTATGATTTTATCAAAATATAGATTTGGGAATCATCTGCATGGATAAAATAATTGAACCGAAGGAAGTAGGTGAGATATTTAATGGAGAAGGAGAATGTGGGCAAGAGCCCGTTCTCAGATGCCCAGTGGTCAGAAATGGGAGCCAGCAGAGTAACTTGCAGTCAATGGGATGGCATTTGAGAAGGTGTTAGTCAATAAGGTCCTGGATTTAGAGAGACCAGGAGAAGGGGAACTGTAGGACAAAAGGCTCTAAGCTTTGACATTTAGGAAATCACTGATGACCCTGAAAATTGCTGTTTGGGGGGGTAGATCACTGATGTCTGACTACTTGTGGTTATTGAGAGAACAAGTACTGAGGTAAAGTGAACCATCTTAATATGTGTCACAACCCAGCCACATAGCATATATATTCATTTGTTAATGTTTGTCTCTCCCTCTGTAAACTTCAAGAGAGCAGCATTTTATTGAGCGTTCTTCTGTGGCTCTAGTATCTGGAACAGTACCTGGCACACAGTAGCATTCAGATATTTGTTAAGTGATTATAGAGTGAACGACTGATATGCTTAGCATGTTTGATTATAAGACTAAAGAGCAAAAATTAAAAAAAAAACTTGCTGAAAATTTGGGGAAAAATTTGCTTACCTGATCATGCTCTGGAGTGAGAATCAAAAAATGTTATTGACTGCCAATTCAGATGTCTTCATATAAGGGGTAAAGGGTGACTGGATTGGATATCCTTTTCTGACATTATGGTATTTTAAGTTATCCTTCCTTATGAATGCTTTCTTCATTAACGAAAGAGGTAGATTATATCTGCCAGTATTCAGATGCTTAGCTGTGAACTTGGGTCAGCATTGACTGACCTTTGTGGTTGAGGAGGCATATCCAGAGTAGATCATTGTTAGGTTAACTCATTCCTCTTGCATGTTGATTTCTGAATGATTTCCCATTGCCTAAGAAGTAAAATCCTGAACTTTGTGGCTTGGTATTAAAACTCTATCACCTTGTCTTTAGCTACTCCCCTAACTCACTCTGAATAATTTAGTTGTCTTCACCTTTCCCTGACTTCCCAGGAAAAGAACTAGTTGCTTTTTCCTCTGGGTTGCCATGGCAGGTGATACGCACCTCTTGTAGAGCCTTTGTCATGGTATGTCACCTTTGCTTATTTATCCCTCTGTCTTCTGGACCAGACTCTGCATTCTTGGAGAACAAGAGCACTGCTTCCTTCATCTTTGTGTTCCCAGTGCTAAGTGCATTTTTGACACATACTAGGGGCTCAGTAAGACCCTGCAATTTTATCTAATTGCAGTATCTACCCAAATAAATGAGAACAAATGTCCATATTAAAATGTGTACGTGGAAATTCATAGCTGCATTATTCACAACAGCTCAAAAAGTAAAACAACCCAGAAGTCCATCAACTGATACATGGATAAATAGGATGTGGTATATCCATACTATGGGACATTATTTAGCAATTAAAAAGGAATGAAGGATGCTGCAGTGTAGAGGAACTTCAAAAATATTATGCCAAGTGAAAGAAGCCAGTCACAAAGACCACATGCTGCATATAATTTCATTCAGATGAGATGTCTAGAATAGGGAAATCTGCAAGGAAAGAAGTTGGATTAGTGGTTTCCTAGGGTTGAGTGGGACAGGGAGGTGACTACTAATGGGTACAAAGTTTCTTTTAGGGGTGACGTTGTTGTAAAATTAGATGATGGTGATGACTATACAACTCTGCAGATGTATATAATAAAAACTATTGAGTTGTATACTTTTAATGGGTGAACTTTGTTATTACATTACATATTAATAAAACTTTTATAAAGGGTAAATTTTCAGTTACAGAGTTTGGAGGGCCACTGTGCTTCCTTTAATGGGTGACTAGACCTCCGCTTTTTTGCTTTATATAATGTGATCTAGTGATCTATAAATCATTCAGTTGATCAGGTGCTTTGGCTCACGCCTGAATCCCAGCACTATGGGAGGTGGAGGCAAGAGGATTGCTTGAGCCCATGGGTTTGAGACCAGCCTGGACAACATGGTGAGACTTTGTCTCTACAATAAATCAAATTAACCGGTGTGGTGGTGCACTTCTGTAGTTCCAGCTACTTAGAAGGCTGAGGTGGAGGGATTGCCTGAGCCCAGCAGATTGAGGCTGGAAAAATCAATTGTTCTGCTTTAAGTTTTCCTGGTTATAGATTTCAGTAGTAATGCGATAAAAGAACACAGGCTCCCTCTCATATCTATGGCAGTTTATTTTGTTTTATTTATTTATTTTTTGAGTTGGAGTCTCATTCTGTCACCCAAGGTTGAGTGCAGTGGCACACTTACAGCTACTGTAGCCTTGGCTGGCTGGGCTCTGTCCTTCCGTCTCAGCCTTCCGAGTAGCTAGGACTATAGGCACGTGCCATCATACTCGACTAATTTTTTAATTTATTGTAGAGATGAGGTCTCACCAAGATGCCCAGTCTGGTCTCAAACCCCTGGGCTCAGGTTGTCCTCTTGTCTCCGCCTCCCAGAATGCTGGGATTACAGGTGTGAGCCACGACACCTGGTGCCAGTTGATTTTAGACCTGCATTCCTGGAGCATTCAATGGGGAAAGAGTGATTGCTTCAACAAATAGTATTAGAAAAACGGGATATCCATGTGCAAAAGAATGAAGTTGGACTCTTACCTTGTATCATATACAAAACAAACTCAAAATGGATAAAAGGCTTTAAGAACTTAAAACTGTAAAACTTTTAGAAGAAAACATAGAAGCAAATCTTCATGGACAAATATATACAAATGGCCAATAAGCACATGAAAAGGTCTCAGCATCCTTAGTCACTAGGAAAACACAAATCAAAAACACAATATGACTTTATACCTACTAGGATGGCTATAAATTACAAAGCAGAAAATGTGACTAGAGTCGGTGAGGATGTGAAGAAATTGGAGCCCTACATTGCTGGTGGGAATATAAAATGGTACAGCTTCTGTGAAAAACATTTTAGTGCTGCTGCTGCTTCTTCTTCAAAAAAGGTAAACAAGAATTACCACATGACCCAGCAATTCCATTCCTAGGTATATTCCCAAAAGATTGAAAACAGGGACTGGTACTCATATTTGTATGCCAACATTTATTGCAACATCATTGGTAGCCAAGAATTGGGAACTACGCAAGTGTCCATCAACAGATGATTGGATAGACAAAATATGGTATATCCAAACAATGGAATATTAGTAAGCCATCTACAGCATGGATGACCCTTGAAAGCATTATGCTAAGTGAAACAAGCCAGACCCAAAAGGACAAATATTATGATTCCATTTACGTGAAATAACTAGAATAGGCCAATTCATAAAGACAGAAAGTAACTTAGAGGTTACCAGGGGCTGGGGAGAGAGGGCAGCGGAGAATTAATTGTTTAATAGGTACAGAGTTTCTATGTGGGTGATATGAAATTTTGGAGGTAGATAGTGGAGTGGTGATGGTTGTACAACATTGTGAATGTAATCCACTGGCTCATATAATTAAAAATGGTTAAAATAGCAAATGTTATATCAGATATATTTTACCAAAATAAGAGGAAAAAAGAAAAGGTTAAATGCTATTAGATCCTTGCCAGTAATTGAAAGTAAGGTAAAAGAATATGCTGTTGAATGCCAAGGTGATGCCGCAGTCTTGTGAGCAAGTGGCATAATTGAAGAATGAGCAGCATAAAGACAAACTATTTTTGAAGCATTAATTATATAATACCTTTCATTGGAAGAAAGAATGATTAAATGGGAGTGGCTTGCAAATGTTCATCTTCCTCTCTAGATAGCAAAGGGAATAAAAAGAATCCTTCTGAGCTTACAGCTTCTGTTACATGATTTTTGAATTTGGGCCCTACAGGCTTACAAAATGAGGCTGTTAGTAAAGCTTAAATGGGAACATGTATGTGGATTCACTTTGTAAACCGTAAAACATTATACAAACCCTAACTCCCTTATTTGCTAAAATAGTCATGTTTAATCTACTTTTTAGCTGCTTCATTTATTTATTTATAAAGAATTATATTGTAGTTTTCTTTTTCTCCCTTTTAGTATTTAGTGTCTTTGATCCGAGACAAACTAGGGTGGATGTGGGTTTTCTACTTTTTCATTCTCATGGTAAGTGTGTTCCTTTTTCCCTCCACTAGTTGTTTTTCTTACTAATTCTTATTTCTTATTAATTCAACTCAATGCATTTACTAAATTACTTCTTGAACTAGCAAAATTGCTGATACTTTTGTGAAAAGTAACATTTTTTTTAGTCTAAAAGCCATATTTTTTCAAGGATGAAAAGGGCCCTCAGTTTGCCCTTGACCTGAGTCCAGTGATTATTGCCATTTTTCATTCTTTTCTTTTTTGAGTTGGAGTCTCACTCTGTCACCCTGACTGGAGTGCAGTGGCACGCTTACAGCCACCCCAGCCTTGACCTGCTGGGCTCAGGTGATCCTTCCGCCTCAGCCTTCCATGTAGCCGAAACTACAGACATGCGCTACCACGCCCAGCTAATTTTTGGACTTACTGTAGAGATGAGATCTCACCAAGTTGCCCGGTTGTTCTTGAACCCGTGTGTTCAGGCAGTCCCTTCACCTTGGCCTCCCAAAGTGCTGGGATTACAGGCTTGAACCACTGTGCATATTGCCATTTTTAATTTCAGACAAACAAGAGACTCATTTAAAGTATTGCCACCATTAATCAGCATACTCTTTTGGTGTACTCTGTCTGCTAGATATGATTTGGGAATGCTGAAGGAAATTGCAGCGTACACCAAAGAACATAGAGTTAAAGGAACAGCATTGCTATAATTAATACCGTCATGTGTGTAGGTTCTAAAATGGTGATAGTTTCTTGATGAAATATTATGCTTTGGGCACTCTTGGCCAAGATTCTGTACTTTCTGGTAAATAGCCGATACATAATAAAGCTTTGTGCTTTTGAAATGTTGCTCTCTGTTGAGTAATCATGTGACATACTCGATCACATTATTGGCGGGGATCATGCTCAAGACATGTCTACTTGAGAGTCTGGTGATGGCCTGGTCCACCAGGGATGCAGCATGTCCTTAAATCCCGGGCATCCTAATTGGAAGCAGCCTCAGTTACCTCGAGTCCAGGCAACTGTCCTCTTTCTTTGTCCAAGGAGCTCTGAGGCAGTCTAAGTCCAGGAATTCCCTTTCTCTTGCTGTCTAGCTTCCAAAGACTGGACCATATATCTCTTTTGGTCCATTTCTGACATCTGTGCTAAGTGGAGGGAAATGTCTTCTGATGACCCTTCTGGTCTGATCATAATGGGAATTTTAGTAGAAAGAAAACTGGATCTATTATAAGAAACAGGTTTGTTTTGTTTTTTTTTAAGTCAGGGTCTTTTTTTTAATTTAATTTTTTTCAAATTTTAATTTTGAAGATGTAGGGTACAATTCAGGGTTAGGTATACAAAATGTTCATTGTACAGCTTCCCTTGTTGATGAGGTATGCCCCCCTCCCCTGGCAGTTTCTCAATACTGCCAATCCCACCCCTTCTCCCTTGGCATTTTCCCACTACTTCCAATCCCTTTCTTAGAGTATTATGATAATTGTTCGAAGTCTGCTTATGAGTGAGAACATATGGTGCTCTGTTCTTTGTTTCTGTGATAGATCACTGAGTATGATCGACTCTAAATCTATCCAAGTTGCTGCAACAGGGTCTTACTCTATTGCCCAGGCTAGAGTATAGGGACACGGTCATTGCTCACTGCAGCCTTTACCTCCTGGGCTCAGGTGGTCCTTCACCTATGCTTCCTGAGTTGTTGGGACTACATGTGTGCACCACCACACTCGGTTAATTTATTTTTATTTTTTTTGGTAAAGATGAGGTTTTGCTGTGTTGCCCAGACTGGTCTCAGATTCCTTGGCTCAAGCAATCTTCCTGCCTCAACCTCCCCAAGTATTGGGATTGGATTACAGGCATGAGCAACTGCGCCTTGCCTAAGAAACAGTTTTTATTTTGAGCTTTAGTATCAATTTTCTGCTCTACCTATGGCACATTATTTAATTTATTGTGCTTCACTCTCTTTTTTGACAACTGTAATGTGACATTAAGTGTTTTGTAATGCTAACTATAATTTCCAAAATCATTTCCTAATTCATTGAAGATTAAAAGTTATCTTTGTAGGAAGTCAAAATGAATGTAATTATCCAAATCCATTATAATTTTCAAAACATGATGCTCTAACAAAAGTAATTAAACTGTTGCTGCATGTTTAATACTTTTTTCTCTTCACAGACGAGTTGTACAATTCTTTTCATCTCACCATTAATAGTGAGGGAAATATTCTATCTTGTGCGGAGGAGACAAACTCACATATTAAGTGAGTGACTGCCCATAAGACAAAAAGAACAATGGGAGACACATCGAGACTCTTAGGGCTTTTAATTCTCCCTATTTGGGGTTATCTAGAGCTGCAATGCAACCTCTGACTGTCAGGCCTCTTTTGAGACTGCCAGCCACCTGAGATGCTGACCAGTAGTGAAGGCCGGCTGTTTATCTACACTACAGGAGTTGTTGATGATTTGTTGTTTCATGAATGTGCCGAGTGGCCTATGCATCTTTCAGCGTTTTTGCCTGTTGAGGTTTATCCCTTGAACCGTAAATGTCGTATTAGACTTGGACCCTTGTTCTTCCGCCTGGACAAGTTGAATGAACCGGGGGCAGAGCCACGCAAGGTTTGTATCCATGATGAATTCCACGGATAGGATCATTGCATTTTGCTTTGGTAATGAGTTTGCAGAGAGCAGTTCATCTTTGAAACATCAAATCCTGATAAAGTGCTCAAGCTGGATCAAGCTGTAAGCCTGTGTTGGACAAAGAAACCCTCTGTTAATGCTGGTGGGGGAGATCATGTTACATGCCCGTTGGCTCTGTCTCTACCCATCTGATCTACAAGTCATTTAGCCCCGCTGGCAGAAATATCTTCAAATTATTGTCAACTTGTTTTCCTCTGTCTTCATTCAAATTAACTTTGACTCCTGGGGGTATTTAATCTTTTTCTTAAGTATCATAAGGTACATCAGTTAACTGGAACATTCCGATGTGTAACTCACAACTGAAGTTCTCAACCTCAGATGTGTTGTCTGGTCACTTCAGAGTCCGCTAGGAGGCTAATCTGCTTAGTTCTATTTTTAGAGGATTGGTTTTTGTCACAACCCGTTCCTGGAGTTACCTCAGTAGAACACTAGAATTAGAGAAAAAGGAAAGACCTTTTGTCCTAGTAAGTATTAAGAGCAGATGATCCTTAACTTAGGGTGGGATTGTGTCCTGATAAGCCCATAGTAAGTTGAAAGTATTGGAAATTGAAAATGCATATAATACACCTAACCTACCAAATGTCATAGCTTAGCCTAGCCTACCTTATATATGCTGAGAACACTTATATTAGCCTACAATTGGCCTAAGTCATCTAACACAAGCCCTATTTTACAATAAAGTGGTGAATATCTCACGTAATGTATTGAATACTTTCCATTATATCAAAGTTGTGATGCTTTTGCACCTTTGTAAAGTCAAAAAATCAGAAGTCAGGGACTGTCTGTATGTGACATTGAATCACAATAATGGGTTACTGGGCCCTTTAGAAATGCCTAAAGCAGTGTCCTTTAGAAAATTATAGAGTATACGTCTTCAAGGCTGTGAATTCTGTACTAATAATCAATATTTTAAGGTCATTCTGTGTACATATTTTAAATTATATAGGTGAACTAGGAGGAAAATGTGCAATTTTGAGGGCTACCTGATTTGCATTGAGTTAGGGAATATTTTTCAGCCTCTTGCTTTACACTGAATTGTGGTGTTTATAAATTTGTTATTTAATCATGCAGTTTTCCAATCGGTGTATTGCTCATTTACTGACAAAAAGGGAAAATGTGAAACACAGAAAGGGAAAAATAAACTGACTTTTATAATAAACCTCTGCCTGTTTGGTTATTTAAATCTATACTGTGAGTGTGGGATTTCATGTGTGAATAGTACCTTTAGGTTTCCTGACAGCACTCGCAGGTGAGCCAGCACTAACCCACAGCGTGGCTGGGTACCACAGCATCTCCACCTGAGATGCTGGGAGTGCCTCATTTCTGTTCTGTTCTGTGAAAACTTACCCTTGCCCTTTGTGTTAGATTGTGCTCAGTTTGGATGAGTTGCCTAGTTGTAACTTAAGAGCTATCTGTTTAGCCTAGGCAACATAGTGAGACTCTGTCTCTATAAAAATACATAAATAAGCCAGACTTGGTGGTTCAGCCTGTAATCCCAGCACTTTGGGAGGCTGAGGCGAGTGGATTGCCTGAGCCTGCTGGTTCCAGACCTGCCTGGGCAACTTGGCGAGACCTTGTCTCTACAATAAATCAAAAATTAGTCGGGTGTGGTAGTGCACGCCTGTAGATCTAGCTACTTGGAAGACTGAGGCAGAAAGATCGCCAGAACCCGGTAGGTTGAGGCTGTGGTGGCCGTGAATGTGCCACTGTACTGCAGTCTGGGCGACAGAGTGAGACTCCAACTCAAAAAACAAAAAACAAAAAATAAAAATAAATAAATAGCCAAGTATGGTGGTGCATCCCAGTATACTGTGGTGAGCAACACTGCACTATGGCCTGGGCGACAGCAAAACCTTGTATCTTAGAAAAAGTGACACCGCTGGGCTCGGTGGCTCAGCCTGTAATCCCGCGCCTTTGGGAGGCTGGGGTGAGTGGATTGCCTGAGCCCGTGGCTTCGAGACCCACCTGGGCAGCTTGGCAAGACCTCATCTCTACAATAAATCGAAAATTAGCCGGGCGTGGTAGCGCGCACCTGTAGTTCCAGTTACTTGGAAGGCTGAGGCGGAAGGATCACCGGAGCCCAGCAAGTCGAGGCTGCGATGGCCGGGAGCGGCCCCTGCACTCCAGTCTGGGCGACAGTGAGACTCCAACTCAAAAAAAAAAAAAAGTGACACCAACTGGTTTATTTTATTTTTAAATTTTATTTTTTTATTTTAAAGATGTGGGGTACAGCCAACTGGTGTTTTCTTAACCAGTTTGACCATTGAAGGTGACTGTTCCTTAGACCCCTCTATGACTGTACTGAAATGAAATTATAAATAAAATGCTCAACCTTGAACAAAATGATATATTGTCCTATGGATGTAGTCCTTATTCTAGTTCTGCCAATCTGCAGGAACTAACTTTAATAAATGAGAGTTCACTTTCTTATTAATGTTTTTCCCTTAAGGCCATTGGGAAAGCTCATTGGAAAAATGCACCCTTCTTGGAAACCTGGATAGGCCAGAAGGCAAAGGTTGGGGCCTGGGTTCTAACACCAGTTTTACCCCTCTCAAGTTCTATGTCCTGGCAGTTCATGGAACTTCTTTGGTTCTCAGTTTCTCCTTCTAAAAGATGCAATCCAGCCTGGGCTATGATCTTTCATGTCTTATTCATTAATATCCGCAACGTAGCAATCTTCACTATTTTTTCAGTTTCATTGTCACATAAATATGTTAATATATGTGGGTAGAATACATTGGATGCTTAAAAAGTGGATTATCCAAGCCTTTAAAATTTTATTTCACCATAAATTCAATTCAATAGTTTTTTTTTTTCTGGGAGCTAAACATGTATCCAAAACTGTGCTAGGTACTGGAGATTTGGGGATAAACAGTTTCTGACCTATTATTAATAATTTTAATGATGGAATATTTTGATGTAAGTGCCAAATATCAGTAAACATTTCATAAAAGAAAAAGGAAAATGCACCCTTCCCTAACAGCTGAACGCGCATGCTCCCTAGGTTGAAATAAAATGCTATGGCCTGCCTTTTCTTTTCAGAAGGTGGTTTCTCCTTATAGTGTCAAAGAAGGACATGTCTTTCCCCTTCCTTCTTCTTTTGGCCTTTCCTGGCTGCTGGGGGACCAATATTCCTTCAGGAAGTGCTGGAGACCCCTTCCCCTAGGATTGTAGGATGGAGAATGTGTCTGCTCTCAGCCCTCTGCTCCTTTAAATCCTCCAGAAGTTCTCCTCCCACATCAGTAACTGACGCAGCCTCTTCTTAGCCCTACTAGTTCTAATGTTCTATTTTTTTTTCACAGCCCACCCCTTTGAGTTAATGGACTGTATCTGCTGGCTTCCTGGTCATACTACTAACTTTCTCCTCAACTAGGTAAATAGCCATCTATATGTTTGTCCAGGACAGTCCTGTTTAATGCCGCTGGTCACCGTAATTATCAAGGGTATCTCCTTTTGCTCTCCAAACATCCTGGTTTGGACACCTCATCCTTAATCTCTAACTTCTTGTCTCCTGACAGAAACCATATATTTGAAGTTCTTTGAATTTGGAGATTTCCCACCCCACCACCTTAATCTTTTTTTTTTCTTTTTTGAGTTGGAGTCTCACTCTCACCCAGATTAGAGTGCAGTGGCATGCTCATGGGTACCGCAGCCTCGACCTGCTGGGCTCAGGCGATTCTTCTGTAGCTGGAACTACAGGTGTGCACCCCCACTCCCGGCTAAATTTTTGGATTTATTGTAGAGTTGAGGTCTCACCAAGTTGCCCAGGCTGGTCTTGAACCCCTAGGCTCAGGCAGTCCTCTCACCTCCTCCTCCCAAAGTGCTGGGCTTACAGGTGTGAGCCACTGCAACTGGCTCACTCTTAACCTTTCTCTAGTACTTGACACTGGTGACCACCTCATCTTTCCCAGGACTTCTGTGTGTGTGGCTTCAATTGTGTTTTAATTGATCAGATCTCCTTACCTCCTGGCCCTTCTCCTGGGTTCTCTTCTCTGGTGTTCTACTGGTTTCCTTTCTACTCTCCCTGGTGAGCTGTTTTTGTAATCTACCAATAGCTCTGTCAAATACTTGTGAAAAACCACTAACATCAGTCTGTTAATTAACAATAGTTAAGAGCAAATCTCAAGGGAGGGAAATGGCCTTAACTTAGATCACCTAAACCTCCTCTCTTACCCCACAAACCACTCTGCCAGTTGCCTGCACTAATGTTTTTTCAAGTTTTCTAGGTTACAAACCTTTTTTTTTTTTTTTTTTGAGTTGTAGTCTCTCTCTGTTGCCCAGGCTGGAGTGCGGTGGAACATTTATGGCCACCGCAGTCTTGTCCTGCTGGACTCAGGTGATCCTTCTACCTCAACCTTCCAAGTAGCTGGAACTACAGTCACGTGCCACCACACCTGGCAAATTTTTTGATTTATTGTAGAGACGAGGTCTTTCTAAGCTCAGGCAATCCCCTTGCCTCTGCCTCCCAAAGTGTTGAGGTTATAGGCATGAGCCACCATGCCCGGCTTGGTCACAAACCCTTGTGAGGATCTGAAAGCCACTATCCTTTCTGCAGATTGAAATGCACATATGAGAAATCAGGATTTTCTTTCTGGATGTTCATACTTGAAGCCCGTTTTTGGACCACAAAGTTAAAAACCTTGGTTAAAGTTAGAGACCTTGGTTAACAGAGTCACGTCCCAGGCTTTGAGCTTCTTCGCAGTCCATTTCAGTCTGTTTTTTACTGATTCTCCCATGGTCTGTCTACCTGAGCCTTCTGCAGAATCAGACTAGTTAGTTCATTCCTTGCTGCAAATGGCAGCATGTGCTCATGGCTTCTTGTCCTGGTCCACACCTCTCTGTAATACCCATTTTTGCTTCTAACTTTCTGGGTTTTAAAAAAATACATATTTAAAAATAGAGACAAGGTTTCATTATATGACCCAGGCAGGTCTTGAACTCCTGGGCTCAAGCAATCTTCCCACCTCAGCCTCCCAAATGCTGGAATTACAGGCATGAGCCGCTGCACCCAGCTCGCTTTCTAAATCTTAATTTTCCTTCAAGGCTAGGCGAAGCACCATCTAGTCTGGAAATCTCAACCAGCCTTAGTAGTCCTTTGCCATCTCTCCTTTCTTTTGTGAAAACATCAGTGTTACTTAGGTGGTGCTTAGCGGTTTCCTTCTTAGCTATTTTCATGTCTAACTCCCCTAGGAGACGGATGCTCTTTCCATGCCTGGTTCCTCACGTGGTTGGTGCCGAGTCAGTGTGGAGCGTGTGGAAAGGTGGAAGGGAAGTGAGTGAGTGGAGTATGGGCGAGCAGGTGGTGGCTCCCTGACCTGAGGACTGCTTTCCCCTTGCTCTGCTCAGCACTGTCGATGCTGAGGGCTCCTGGCAGCCCTGTGGATCTCCTGAGGGCTCAGCCACAGTGAGTGTGAAGGCATTGGCTCCAGGACAGATCCCGTGCTACTCAAGCATGAGCTGCTCTCCTGACTCCTGCTGGTGTTTCCACCTGGTCTCATCTTCCTTCTGTGGCCATTCAGACTCCTTTCATCTCTCCTAGTCCCCCTCCGTGCCCCACCTCCATGAAGCTTTCCAGATCGCCCTGCTAGGAATCCTCTTTTCTTTCTGGAAACTTCTTCTTTTGGTAACCATTTTATGTATTTGTTATCTTATTAGTAGTAGTAGTTTTGAGTCAGAGTCTCACTCTGTCACCCAGGCTGGAGTGCAGTGGCACGCTCACAGCCACTGCAGCCTCAACCTGCTGGGCTCAGGCTATTTGCCTCTGACTTCCAAGTTTGAGGAACTACAGGCATGTGCCACCATGCTCAGCTCATTTTTCTTGATTTATTGTAGAGATGAGGTCTTGCCAAGTTGCCCAGGCTGGTCTCAAACTTGTGGGCTCAGGCAATCCTCTCACCTCTGCTTCCCAAAGTCCTGGGATTATAGGCGTGAGATACCACGCCCAGCCTCCTTCTGGAAACTTCTAAAGCCTTCATCCTCAGACCATACAGTGTGCCCCAGGATGATTCGTTTCTCTACCTTATTTTGTTCCCTGGTTGTTTCTGGTTAAGTTCTCATTTCCTCAATTAAATTGTGAGTCACAAGACACAGCAGCCATTTAATCAAGATAGGTCAACATGCCTTCCCACCTTGCCTCTTTTGTGCTTTTAGATCCAATAT